GCTCTATCAGTTCTAAACTGTTCTTCCTAGAGGTCCAGTAAGGATCATCTCTTATTGATCCAGTGTTACTACAGGAGGAAACCTAAACTAAACTAACTTTATTTATACTGGATAGCTCTATCAGTTCTAAACTGGTCTCCCTAGAGGTCCAGTAAGGATCATCTCTTATTGATCCAGTGTTACTACAGGAGGAAACATAAACTAAACTAACTTTATTTATACTGGATAGCTCTATCATGCAATTCAGAATTGCTCTCCCTAGAGTTCCAGTAAGAACTATGCCTTATTGTATCGCTTATTGAGATCAAATTACTCGGAGGAAACCTGTGGTGTTTGGAAGAGTCAACCTGGAACTATTCTTCTTACATGCGGCTGAGGAGAAATGAGGTAACCGTATATTGCAGGAACCACCGACCCAGAGGTGGGACGCGCATGCAGCAGCCAGTGTGCCAAGAACACCCTCAAGATAAAGAGCTTTCTATCACACTCCCCAACGTCTAGGTGGGGTTTCGTCCACCCCCTCCCCGCTTACCTATTCTTACAGTCATAACCTCTCCATGTGCACTCCGTGACTAGGTCCTCCCATTGATGTCCTGCAGGTCTTAGAATTTCTATCGGAACTTTAGTAACAGCTGTTGTAAATCGTTCCAGGAATAGGACATTCTCATTGATTTCATCTTTCGTGGGAAGGTACTCCCTGTCCGCGTCTTTGTACTCGTTGTAAGGAAGGCCATGCGAGGGTCTATGGGAGTAGGGTCTGTAAGATGTTTGCTGCCATGGGTTCCATGTTGTGTACGGGCGAGATGTAGTTCGATACCATGCAGGGTCTTCAGGCTTCTTAGTTGTATGAAATGTCCCGAACTTTGGGGACGAGGGACTAGGGCTAGGCGGATTTTGAGTGCCGCCTACAGCATCGCTGTATGTAGTTAGCGATTTGGTTGTGGGAGTGGTTGTGGGAGGCGGGTTTGATCCAGCAATATCGCGACGTTTCCGAGCTTTTGTACTGTCTAAGAAAAGAAATATGCATGTAGCATGGTTAATTAACTCAATGAGTGGTAACGCGCCAGTTGCATCTGCCACCTGCATTTAAGAGCCTGTTCACATGAGCGCAGCCAACTGAGACACTCGCCTGAATGAGATCTAGTGATCTACATGGCCTTTGTTAACGCATATAAAATTTAATTTGTGTTCATATGAGAAACCAGGCAGCCCAGCTGAGAGAGATCTAACCTTGCGCTAGATCTCAGTCAAGCTTTTAGTAGGATAAAATGTTCCGTTTCAAGACTTTATCCCACCTGGCCGGAATGAATATTGACCTATGATATCGTATTGAACGGCATCGTTGGAAAATACAAACGAAAAGAGACATTAATAGACATAAACAGACACTATTCAAGTTGTAATACAAGCTGCAGTTTGTTCAATTACAACAAAAAATATTTCAAAGATGTCATGTTTACATAATGATGTTCCAACAAGGCCGGATATTAGGTGGGATAAAAACACTCTCTTATATATGGGGCACCAACTGTAAAAAAAAAGTTATATTTAACAAATATAAAACTAGAAATAAACTAGAAATTGTGTGTTGATTGTTTCCACATAATTTCCAGTTTTCCCAATTTCCACGAGTGTTGATATAACTGCATGTATATCAATACAGAAAAAATGTTTTATAATTTTTTTATAATATAGCACAAAGAAATATAAAGAAAGAAATTTTCTGTGTTGATATTGAGTTATATCAACACGGCTCTTAGCCAATCAGCGTTCAGAATTTACAAATGCTATATTATAAAATACATTATTTGCAAACAATGTTTGTGTTTTGAATAAATAATCTATAGATTATTTATTCAGAACACAAACATTGTTTGCAACTATAATGTATTATACAACTATAAATAATGGAAAATTCGACATATTTTGGCTGATAATATTTCTTTCCCGGCAAACCGCGGGCTCATATGGAGAGACCCTCGGACAAACACAAACTTACTAGAAGCAGACGACGTGTTGTAAACACCAACTAAATTTAACATTTCTTCTTTCAGCTCCTTCGGGATTTCTTTAGTTCGTAACATGTTTAGATTACAGATTGTCACTGCTGGAAACGGCACTTGCTATAGGAATAGAAAGAAAAAGCTCGTTTAGTTCAAAACTATCTAGAGGTTCTCCCGTATTGGTTTAGTGTTGCAGAAGGAAACCAGAGCGCCGAAAGAAAACCTGTGGTGTTTGTTTTACGACGCAAGTTTATGAACATTTTCACGTAACCAGAAGCAGTTGCAAAAATGAACTATATATAGGCAGGAATCAAACCTGTGGCCTGTGATTCCGATGTAGCGCTCAAATAACTGGACTCAGTTGGTCAGACGGTTAGAGTGCTGGAATCGCATGCAGGGAGCCCGTTTCTACTTGCAATTTTTGCTGTGATTTTCTACTTCTGATATATGTGAACGAGCAGATGAGCTTTCATTGTTCTGAGTATATATCTACCCTCATCGAACATTCATAACTCGTCCACTCGTGTTCACATCGATCAGAAGAGGAAAATTGCACCGAACATCACAGCAAAAATTGCACTAAAGTTTAGTTCTATCGAAGGAGATGCGTCCAACTGAAAGGATTCTTTTCAATGGAGCGAATCTGCTGGGGACTCGAAGCCCAGTCACAGAGATGAAATACACATACACTATCACTATGTGTCACCCATGTACTAAACTCTGTGCCACCAGCTCTCACCTTTTCAAAAGTAATTCGTACACTGGTCGTCACAGGCCGTGATAAGTACAACAAAAATAGACCGCGCACTTGATATGTAAACATTCCAAATGATCCCACACAGACAAGAGCCCAAAATATTTTCCAGAAAACGCCTTCCGAACCTTCCAAACGACTGAATCCATGTGCTGTTGTATAACCAAGAAAATTTCGAATCAGTTTAGGAATGTTTTCTTTTTCATCCGAATTCCTTTCGCTCTGTTGAGCTTCGTTCATTTTCGGGAGATTTTTGCTGAAATAGGACGCATTTGGCAGGTAAATTTCTCTCTCAAATTTTACATCGTAGTTAGGTGTCGTCGAGAGCTTCCTGAAATGAGAGAATTTGAATCTACTGTTACTCAGTTAACTAAGCTGTTTCCGTGGCTCAGTGTAGATAGTATTGACCTTACGATTTTAGGACGGCAACGCGACGGCCAAAACAAACTCCTTCAAATAAATGGTAGTAAAGATAGTTCGTCGTATATTATCAATCGTATGAATTCAATAGTCTTAGAAGTTGAAGACATGGTTGGGAAGAGTTCTGCTAAACCCAGTTTGAAGTTGCACTTGTTGTGGCTTGGCATGCAGCCGTTGTATCAAGACGTGAAAATCTGTGATTTAGCGTTGTAAACCGAGCGAGGACAATGTCTAAATTATTCATATGTTGTAATTACTCAATTCGTTTCAATGATTTATTGCATGGTAGCCGTTGCCGTCCTAAAATTGTAAGGTCTCTAGTAATCCATATATTTTCTTAGTTCGTTTTATAGTTTCCTTTCGTCTCCGCCCCTTTGCATTTCCCGCGCGTTCAGTCTTAGTCAGGGAAACTATAAAACGAAGGAAAGTAGAGGGATTGCTCGCAGTCTGATAGTATTCTCAAAAAATATTAAAATGTGAGGAGATTTATTGGAAATTAGTGGATATTAGCTGCAGCTGCCATATTAGCATCTACAGCAGAAGCTAGACCTTCGCTCTAATCCTTTATAATTGAAGAATACTATTTGACCCCACAAACCTGTGACAGCTTATTGTATAACTTTACCTACACTGGACCACCACATTTGATGCAATATTAAAATCACTTTTTAACACGGTAAATATAGAGTATAGGAGAGCAAATACATACCCTGAAGTTTTGTACATTTGTAAGCATCCTATACCTCAATTGTATTGATATTAAGCTTTCTGCTCTGTCAGTCTGTCATTAACTTTGATATATAGTTTCTGATTATGCAGAGACAGAACTTTTTTAATAAAATATACAATACTGGGAACTTTCGAAAAGCACATATAGCCCAATACATTATGTTATCACCAGCTGTGTTTGAATACAATAACTTACAGTTTACAGTGAGCAAATAGCATTTTTATCTATGAGTTTAATGAATTTAAAAAGCCATAGGCTGCTTGTGCAATTAACTTGTTTCCATCGAATACATGCAAATATATATATACATATTTCAAAACTCATTAATAATTCAGGAGCAAACAAATAAAAATCATAAGCGTGTCGTGGTTTTATGTGATAAAAAATCACGTTAATTTACATAAACTTTAGCTTTGATTTTCTCGGTTTAGACAAAGTTTATTTTAAACTGAATTACTTCGCCAACTATGAACTCGTATAAGATGAGTCGTTTTTGAAGCTATTTAAGGCACTTGTATAGTCGTGTTTTATCACATATAAAACACTCCGCTACGCGTCGTGTTTTATATGTAATAAAACACTCCTACGCGTGCTTTAAATAGTACATATAATATCGTACATACAGCCCTGGTCAAACGCGAATAAGAGTTGGCAAGCTAGAGTTTACATGAGAGTTTTCTCAACTCTCATGGCTCATGCCCCGATCAAACGAGAACACGAGTTGGCTAGCTAGAGTTTATATGAGAGTTTTCTCAACTCTCATGCCCCGATCAATTAAACGAGAACAAGAGTTGCATTACAGTTGATGAGAGTTGACTGGATATTATTATATCGCACGTAGCGAAAACTCTCATCAAATCTCATCAAATTTGAATCAATTCAAAGTTGATGAGAGCTGCATGATGAGAGTTGATGAGAGTTTTTAAGGTACTGTGAAATATTTACGGTACGAATATGAACATGCATGTGAAGCACAATTGGAATATTTGCTGGCACCCCGTCGATAGCTCGTTTAGAAATAGAAATTTTAAGGTAGGAATACTAATTATAGAGGCAGGAATATAAGTTATAAAGGTAGGAATATAAATTATAGAGGCATATGTATATCACATATTTAAGGAAAAGTATATTCCTCTTCTATATAGATAACTCGCATGTCTGCCATTCAATTGTATGTTTGAATGAATTGGGTGAGGGCGGACATCATGAGCTGATTACGGCAATTCAAAGAGATTCACGTCTGCTTCGGTTGTGGTTTTGAAGTTAAGGCTAGTTTCCACTCAGGAAAATTATCCGTGGATTGGAACGGACAAGAAAATTTTTCTTTGTCTTGTGAGCTCTGGGTTGGAACTATAATGACTTTAACACAAAGAAAAATTTTCATGTCCGTTCCAATCCACGGATAATTTTCCTGAGTGGAAATTTGCCTTTAATGTAGCGAAATGTGTTAAAATATGCGTTATGTCTTCTATCAAGCAAAAAAGCCTTCATATAAAACCTCATTTTTGGAGACATTCTCAATCATACAAGACTGATATACTTATGTATGTGTTTGAAGTATAAGAATAGATAGGAGCATGCATTTCATAGACTTCCTGGAGTTCAAAAATTTCTTCTTGCACTTGTATGGTTACAGCCCCGTTTACACTACGCTTGATTTTTGGTGCCGTACCACTTTTTTGGTTCTTCGACTACCTAAATAGTCCAAGAACCAAAAAAGTGGTATACGGGCATCAATTTTATCCGTGCAGTGCCAAAAATTGAGCGTAGTGTAAACGGGGCTTAAGTTTTAATAAAAAGTTGCTTTTATCCGCATTTGTCAAATGAGATTGTCCATGATGTTTAGTCTGCATTTACTGGTCTTTAGTGATGAAAAATAACACGATATATAAATCAATATTTGTCTGAACTCTTTTGTCATGTTAAATTTGAAGCAAGCAACTTTTATATTATCTTCTGTTTTAGGTTTAAAATTTACATATTTAATATTATAATATAGCACAGTTTATATTCTGTATAACAACATTCAACGCTGAGCAAAGCCAAAGGTAGGAATTTAAAGTATGCATATGTGTTAAAAGTCGCCGCATTATACTGTAAGCACACAGTATAATTCAGGTGTCTACCGGCATCACCTGACGGTTATATTCTCAGTCATCTCTTATTAATTAACGATGTCGAGTCTCGTTTTTGTTTCGTATTTGACTCTATGATGGAATAGTGTAGGTAGTATTCTACAATAAGCTGTCGTGGTTTGTGTCTGAACTACCTGAAAAAGATATCTCAAACGTGGTGGTCCAGTGTAGGTAGTATTCTACAATAAGCTATTGTGGTTTGTGTCTGAACTACCTGAAAAATATATCTCAATGTGGTGGTTCAGTGTAGGTAGTATTCTACAATAACCTGTCATGGTTTGTGTCTGAACTACCTGAAAAAGATATCTCAAACGTAGTGGTTCAGTGTAGGTAGTATTCTATAATAACTCTGTCGTGGTTTGTGTGTGAACTACCTGAAAAAGATATCTCAAACGTGGTGGTCCAGTGTAGGTAGTATTCTACAATAAGCTGCCGTTGTTTGTGTCTGAACTACCTGAAAAAGATATCTCAAACGTAGTGGTTCAGTGTAGGTAGTATTCTATAATAACTCTGTCGTGGTTTGTGTGTGAACTACCTGAAAAAGATATCTCAAACGTGGTGGTCCAGTGTAGGTAGTATTCTACAATAAGCTGTTGTGGTTTGTGTCTGAACTACTTGAAAAAGATATCTCAAACGTGGTGGTCCAGTGTAGGTAGTATATTCTACAATAAGCTGTCGTGGTTTGTGTCTGAACTACCTGAAAAAGATATCTCACTACGTGGTGATCCAGTGTAGGTATTATTCTACAATAAGCTGTCGTGGTTTGTATCTGAACTACCTGGAAAAGATATCTCAAACGTGGTTTGTGTTGTACTTTATTTCCGAGCGAAGGGCCACCGTCAGGCAGTCACTATATTATACCTCAAAATGTTGAAGTGTTTAATTAATCTTTTTTAGTTTACATATATAAACTCATTTGCAAGTCATGGAAAATCTCAAATTGAAAAGAACTCAGGAAACCTATAGTGCAATCAAAATCCTTTTAATTCACTCCGATCCGTACATCTGACAAATTTATAAGCCAAAATTACTTGAGTTCACTTACTTGGTTCCTTTCAATGAATTCTGTGGCTTCAGTTCATATATGTCCATTGCAGGCATGATCTCATTCGTGGCTGAGTGAGGTATATATTGTCTCTACAATGACACAAATATATTTTATCAAAACCCGCAGAGAACTATATAAAAAAAAACTAAAAACACGTTAATCCATACCACAATACCACATGTACCGTCCTGCATACACTAATAATAAACAAACTATAAGTAGTGATTAATTTGTGCCAGGAGCATTAAAGAAAGAAAAGTTTGCACGGTTTTGGTTGTTGCCCCTGGCACAATAACACAATTTACATAGCTTGATGGGAAAGTTTTGAGATGCGTGGATGCATGCAGGTGATAGAAGATGCCAGTTTCACAGATTAAACTATAATAGAAAATGACTGATTTATAGTACACAATATACAACTGTTGTCTGTTACTTACACAATTTATAAACTAAAGTCACATCTTTTCAAGTCAGCAGCAAATAAAATATAAGTCAGCATGGTATCTGCCATTACATGTTATCCAGTGTGTTCATTAGACCGAGAAGCGCTTGCATCATTATGTAAAACGTTGTTTAACAAAAAAAGCTCATACTTAATTTATGCCTGGATCAATTAAAAATCCCCCCATGCAAGTGTCAATTGACGCAGGTATTTCGTAAAACCCATCTAACACACAGCGTGAAAAATTGCCACATATAAATTGATATAAAGTTGATAACTTCCCATTTTGCTAAGCAACCAAGTATTGAATATTATATATAATGACGGTGCATATATCTTATACTAAACATATATACAGAACACACACATATATAATATATATATATATTACTTCATATGAACTTTATTTCAACTTTGTTTGAACTTCTAATCTTATCAGCTCTACTACGGTATTGAGCACTCTACTCATATATGATTCCAAATATATATATACCGGGTGTCCCAAAAAAAGTACTCCTGTTTGATTCGTAATAACTTCTAAACAAATAAAGCTTTTAAAGAGAAATAACTTGCATCAAATAGAGGAAGGACTAACTTAGATTTTGATATATTACAGGTATTTCACTTAAAAATTCACGGAGATATTAATCTTTAAAATCGGGAGCATATTTCTGGATGCGTCCGAAATATGCAAAAAACGGCCTATCAAATATTAATCAAGATTTGCCCGACTGAAACATGCACTATTACCAGTAAATAAATGACACTTGACAAATTGTTTATTATGAAACAAAGTATTATTATATCTACAAAATACAAGCAAGATTTATTCGTCCGAAATTCGCGTGTGTTCCTAGCACGTACGAATACGTTTCCTTATTTCATGAGACCACTGCATCGCGAAGGATCGTCATGGATCGTTCGTAGTTCTGAATTAGGGCATGCTGAAATCTTGTTAAGAACACCCAAACTCTTTTGCCTTTTCTTAGTCTTGGCAAGTTCAGAGTAAACTGAGAATTATATGAAACACAATCAAACCATACAACTCCATAAGACATAACAATTGAGCAACTCCCCAGAGACATGCAACATTTTTGGAACAAAACGTAACAAAATAGTAGCGGTGATACGGTGATGTGTATTTGCAAAAAGCGACACTATTTCCTTCAATAAAGAATAATATTCATTCTGCTCTAACCGAGAAATAATCAAGTTAGTCTGTTTGAACCCACTTAAAAACATAAAAAAGTTAGGCTATTTAAGAAAAATTTAAGCGCCTGCCTTCCATGGTCAGTCTTTCATGTACTTAATTTTAAGTTTGTAAAGACCTAATATTAAATACTTGCATAATTTCGAACGTTCATATTTCAGGAAACAATGAGCTAAGACTTACATGTAAGATGTCTAAATCTACGCCATATCCCTTACAAACCCTAACGATAATTCGCTGAAATACAAGTTAGCCTGACATGTCATTAAGCAAACAAACGCTGGAGTTAATATTTGATATGCCGATTTTCGTTAATTTTAGACACATCCCAAAATATGCTCCCGATTTTGAACATTAACATCTCCGTGAATTTTTAAGTAAAATACAACTGTAATATATCAAAATCTAAGTTTGTCCTTCCTCTATTTAATGCAAGTTATTTCTCTTTAAAAGCTTTACTTGTTTAGAAGTTATTACGAATCAATATATATATATATATATAGTTTTTCGTTTTACCTCAAAAAACCACAACAGTCTGTTTCATCCGTATATATATATATATTTGAAAAAATTGTTTTCCAGTAACAAACATAAAGAAAAACAGCGAATACTTTTCACAAACAAGTATACCTCGTTTTATCTTAACTAGAAATAAACTGTCAACAAAAACAACCAAATTCCCTCTCTTTCTCGACGAATGGATGAGAATTAGTTCAAGCAGGTGCTAAATCAAATTAGACGTTTTCTAATGATGACTCAAATTTGCTTGATTGAAATCCAAATTGTAAAAGAAGCGACGTTTTTAAGTGAAGTATGAAAGCATTTTGAAAATTTATTTCGACGTTTCGACTAAACTATAGTCATCATCAGGAAATGAATGATGATGATATTACATATGTACAAGTATATATAGTGAAGTAACAAGATACAATTAGTTAAATAGTACACAGATCTTTAGAGGCTGTATTTTATCAAAATACTTACTGGTTCCCGTAATCAAAGACTTGCTCACTATGTTCAGTTAAATATTGAGAGAGTTTTACCTTTTAACTCAAACTGGACAAAGATAGGCGCCGAAAATGAGATTGTCGTAACAAAAACAAATCTTCACCAAAGGCAAGACAAGACAAAAATATTTATTCCATAACGTATAATAACTGTGTAATATTTTAAAATATTCCTTTTCTACAGTATGTGCCGACCTAATTAATGATAATTAATATTAATGCCATATAATATAATATAATATATAGAGAATAATACATGGGTGCGCAGATTTATTTCGACCTTTCCGGCAAATCAACCTCTCTTAAGCGGACAGATGGCAGATTGTCTGATAAAATGTATTCAATATTCGACAGTAAATAACAATTGAGATCAATTTACATGGCACATTGACAGTGACACACCAACTTGGCGTGAAGACATCAGAGCCAAGATTATCGAGGAAGTGACGAACAAGGACGGAGGACTGTGAGCCGCCAGCAAAGGAGCCGAAAGATATATGTCAGATCGCTGATGATGACAACGAACTGAACGAAGATGATGAATTTGACTAGTCTCTTAACGAACCAGTCATTAAATCGTCCTCCGAAGCCCTTAAAGTTGTCGAGCGGCTGGCAGAATTCGCACAATTTCGAGGTTTGGAAGAACTTTCCAACGCCATTTTTATGTAAATGACATTATAATGGGCTATCATCTGCGTGAGCTTCGAAAGCAAACTTGTATCGATTCCTTTTTTATATGACTGTGAGAGACGTATACATTTTCTAATGAACTTTTATGCACACAACCCGTTTCACAGGGTTTCACCTCCGCCACGCCCCCCCCCCCCCACAAACACCGGGGGGCGTGGCGGAGACCCTGTGAAACGGGGTCTCACCTCAAAATCATTGATGAGTAGATTCCTGCTGTGATGCTTTCTCTACTCTTTCAGTTACCTGGTTTTATTACAGTTCGACAGCCTTTATAGCTTAGGAGATAAATATGGTTTAAAATACTCTTTGTTTTAAATAATATACATTTGCTATTTTTAGTTACTGTAATAAGTGCTCAATCATGCTACCCCTACTGAGTATAGCACGTGGTCATAACTCACGTGACCACACCATACCAGGATCTCTCCGGAGCAGGGGGTGAGCGGAGGTGAGACCCTGGGAACGAGGTTGTTATGCACAAAGAAATTTTCATTTTATGCTAATTATTCGCTAGATACTTTTTACTGTTTTGATACTCAAATTACACACCTAATTACACACCTTTGCCCCCTGCTTTGTTTTTCTACATACCCCTTTTAAGCGGACACCCCTTTTAAGCTAGCCTGCGCGCAGACTATATAATGACATATATCGGTCTGCGAATCCGTGGCATGAAGCTTGTATGGTCACGTGGATTTCCCGAGAAAAGTTGGGACGACTTGTGATTGGTTGAACTATAATTATGCAGAATTAATGTTAATTCATCGGATATTGCGTTCGCAACACGCGTTGGGCTGTTCAACATTGACCGTTTCCAAGGTCAAATGACAATGTTTATTACAGTTGTATTTATAGAAGTGTGGCGGATAAACAAAAAAGGCCGTTGTTTTCAAAACGGAAAGCCCATTTCGCCAAACAGAAGATGTAATATTATAGACGAAATCAAATTTAAGGGAGGCAATAAAGATACAGGTATTACAGCTAATCGAGATTTTTCAACCATTCGAGACTTCAAACTTATTCGCTATATAAATCAGCAAAACTCCCCATGAAAATACCTGTATCTTTATTGCCTCCCTTAAATTTGATATCGTCTATAATATTGCATCTTCTGTTTGGCGAAATGGGCTTTCGCTTTCCGTTTTGAAAACAACGACCTTTCTTGTTTATCCGCCACACTTCTATCGAATACAACTATAATAAACATTGTCATTTGACCTTGGAAACGGTCAATTTTGAACAGCCCAACGCGGCGTTGCGAACGCAATATCCGATGAATTAACATTAATTCTGCATAATTATAGTTCAACCAATCACAATTCGTCCCAACTTTTCTTGGGAAATTCACGTGACCATACAAGCTTCATGCCACGGTTATTCTTCGCATATCATTAACATAGGTTATTCTTCGCATATCATTAACAACACTATGAGGTATCCTATTTCATAGTGTTCTACTCATTGCTCAGCTAGAATAAAGTATGGAGTAAATGGTGCTCAGCCCAGTCATTCGCTGTCTCTTATTATGAATCCACCCTTTCTTACACCCCATTACCTCACCTTCCCCCCTTTCTTACACCCCATTACCTCATCTTCCCCCCTTTCTTACACCCCATTACCTCACCTTCCCCCCTTTCTTACACCCCATTACCTCATCTTCCCCCCTTTCTTACACCCCATCTTCCCCCCTTTCTTACACCCCATCTTCCCCCCTTTCTTACACCCCATTACCTCATCTTCCCCCCAAAACCTCGCTGACCCCCAAACCTCATTAAATTAATCCCCAATTCTAATCATTTTCCAAACCTCAGTACTTCCCAAACCTCATTATGTCCCAAACCTTATTGTATAAGACCCATTAGGGTGTTACGCGATTGTGTCTAGGGGTTACTAGTAACTGAGGCTGCTTGGATACGTTCCCGGGAGGGAGTGTCCTGGGTTGAACTATATCACACATGAAATATCAGTTAAATAACTGACGAACTGGATATCTCAGCTTGTGTGGAACGCCTTTGAGATCATATGCATAATTGTGCGCCGATATGCGAGCCTGCATTATATTTTATATTGCAATTAATTCCTCATATTAGTATTTACTCAATGAATAATTCAGTATGATATTTAAAAGCACTATAAGAATAATTGTAGTTAAGTTTTAGGACCACTGGCAAGGCATCGTGGAATCAGAGTAAAGGTGCATTGAATATAGAACTTTTACAATGCGGTTCTTACAAGGTCTGTATGAATCATGTTTCATATTCATTACGTTTGCCACATTCGTACATTCTGTAAACTATGCCTCGTGCGATGAAGAAGCTGTTTTTGAGATAGTAAACAAAGGTAATATACATTTTTACACTTCCTTTTACAATTATGCATCAAACCTAATGTGTTTGCAAAATTATTGCTTTTATTCTAACTATAAACTAACATCATTTTTACTGGATAGTTCTTTCAGTTCTAAACTGTTCTCTCTAGAGATCCAGTAAGGATCATCCCTTATTGATCCAGTGTTACTACAGGAGGAAACCTAAACTAAACCAACATTATTTACTGGATAGCTCTTTCAGTTCTAAAATGTTCTCCCTAGAGGTTCAGGAAGAAACATTCATAGATGCATGGGGCAGTGTTATAACAGGAGGAAACTCGAGTGCACGGTGCTGTGATAAGTAAACTGAAAACCGTCTGCATGCGAGATGAAATTATAAGACAACTACATCCTGAAAAAAGTCACATTCACTGCCAAACACCCTTGATCGTAAAGTCAACTGAATCAACAGATGATAGATTATGATATAGATCATGGAACTTTTGACATATGTTGCTGTATACGAAACTCTAGTTAATTGTTTTACTGAGATATCTAATTGGCATAATGCCTCGCATAATCGATTTCATTAAAACTTTTCATACTGTATTTAACAATGAGTTCGGCGTATATTGAATGTACGCATGAAATTGGCTTGATTGTGCACTTGGATGCAACGATATTGAACAGCATGAAATAAACCACTTTCATAACCCAGATGGGTTGAAATATCGAAGGATTACAATTTTTAGTCCTAACCAGAAGCAGCTATAGACCTTCTGGTAGGAATTGAACCAGCACTCCTGCGATTCCGGTACATCACTCTAACCAACTGAGCTACAGAGTCCAGTAGCTCGGCAACTAAAACCTTTTTTCATTATTTAATTTTCTCAATATGGTTGAGCCCTCATTTGTTTACAATTCTGCCAGCGATCATTTTTGTGGCGATATTTTTGTACCTTGGCCCTTGTGTGTGAATTACAAAGTAATTTAAATCCTACTTCTACTAAACTATTATACATGCAATACTAAAAGTTGACGTTAGAATATCTATGAATACTATTAAGAATATCTACTATGAATATCGATTAAGATCTTGTCTAATAGTTAGTTTAGTTACACCAATTAAATACTATACACTATCTTTGAGCTTTTGAAGCGTAATAGTTAATAAAACTGACTTTAAAACGATTCGTCTTTAAAACTGGTAAGTCATATTTTGAGGTAGACCTAAGATTTATATTGTTTGAATTTAGTGGTGGTAGTAAATCCGCTAATTTGTGATTATTGTTAAGAGATGCCGAGTTAAAAAGTTCTCTGCATAGTCTATCACTTCTATGGACGCTTTCCCCTCTATTTTCTACGAATAGGAGAGCTACCGCAGGAAGACGTAATTTCAAGTTACTCTGTAAATTCTTGGCTTGATTGTGGCGGGAAATGTCTGGAGAACACAGAATGTGTCACCTTCAGTCACCTTGATGAGCTTCATTCTGTTCACCACATCAACTGTAAGATGGCGAGCACCAGAAGTGAGTTTGTGATCATTGGAGATGAAATGTGGACAACTTATGAAATACGAAGCACTGGACTGGTGAGTATCAAAATGTTGAGATGATTGGGAACTTCATATGTATGGTGTATACCTACTGTTTGGAAAACTCAATAATTCATGAAGAAAATTCAAGATAAATCTATGTTTAATGAGGGGTTGTATCCACATAAACAAAATTCTCATGATTTGCATAAACTTTTTCCTCGATTTCCTCAGTTGAAATCACTTTCCTTTGAATAATTTCTAAAAACACAACTGTCAAAATCCTTACGTTTTGCGTTCGTGTTGTATCAGGCATACGACTCTCGCATTCGGCTCAGTTTGTAAATCTGACAGAACATGGCCGCTCATGCTGTACAGATCACATATTCTGTCTGTGTTTATAGTTTATCTAACATATGCAGTTTCTCTTTCTTAAGGAGATATGTTCAACACAGCATCCCTGTTTAAATAATGGTCGTTGTGTCAGGAACTCGTGTGAACCCGAGGGATATATGTGTATATGTAGTGAGTCACATCATGGAAGACATTGTGAGAATAAGAATGGTAAGACAGATTTATACCATGGTTATCAACATCATCACCACCATCATCACCATAATATCACCATCATCATCATTACCTCTGCCATCACAATCGTCATTTTAAACATCATGACCATCAGAAAAAGAAAAACAGATTTTATTATTGTCTCATCTTTTCTTATGCGCGAAAAGAAATCGACTCTTTAGAGACTGCCAGACACAAACCACGGCAGCTTATTGTAGAATACTACCTACACTGGACCACCACGTTTGAGATATCTTTTTCAGGTAGTTCAGACACAAACCACGACAGCTTATTGTAAAATAATACCTACACTGGACCACCACGTTTGAGATATCTTTTTCAGGTAGTTCAGACACAAACCACGGCAGCTTATTGTAGAATACTACCTACACTGGACCACCACGTTTGAGATATCTTTTTCAGGTAGTTCAGACACAAACCACGGCAGCTTATTGTAGAATACTACCTACACTGGACCATCACGTTTTTAATAATCTTCAACTATAGAATGTACCTAACACGAAACCGTTTCCTCTCTAGATTCATATAACTTCGACGTTGTATTTGCATCTCAATTAGCTACAGAGCGGTCATATATCGAGGTGGACAACATGATCATATCTGACCTGACAGAGTTCACATTTAGCACCTGGTTTAAGATTTCAATAGGACTGTATAAATACTATCTACTTTCACACACAACAGCCGATAATGTTGCTGGCAATCTTGAATTCTGCTTTAAAAGTGGATCCGACGAACGAGCGCCAGTTAACAAAATATTTGTAACGCTTCTTCAGAGTACATATAGGTAAGAAGTTAGATAAAGGTAGGGGATGCTATAATCATCTTCCTTTACAACTTAGTGCTGAATTACGAAGGAGGAGATCGAGTCTTACTAAGCTTTCATCTCTTGCTGTCTCTATGCGATCCATGTCTGAGCAATTCGAAAAAGCTTTCGTGGAATCAAGCTGACAGCTGACAATTGGCTTGGACTTTATAACTGAAGTCTCCGATTGATAAGGCCGATCTAGAATACAGAATTTTTGCCTAAAACTGTCGAATGCAACCTGCTTACAACTTGAGTTGTACTGTGTAAATCAAGCACACAACTCACTTATATGACAACGTACGAGAGTCATGTGCTTGACTTACACAACAAGGAGAACTTCGATGTTTCGAGCGAAGGCCCTATTTTTCAGCTAGTTGCATTCCTATCAATTCACCGAAGCTTTCTTATTATTGCCACCAAGACATCTAAAGTCTCCTGTTATGATTCTACTATTAACAAACACGATGGTTAAAAATTATTATTTTGCAGAGCTTTCAAAATAACCCGGCGGCTGCCGGAGCTCCGTCGGGTGCCACGAGATTCACCGCCGGTTACTTTGTTTAGTACTCGAAATATCAATTCTACTCTCCTTCCTCCACTCTAAGCTTTCAAACAAAGTTACTTTTCATCAACCTGGTCTACTTTATAACCTGGTTATTTTCGAAAATGACGTACTATTTCGTTAAACCGATTTAGTTATTCGCCATCTTAAATCTTGAAGTTATTTTGTCGAAGAATGAAAGTAGTGATACATTATAATTTGGTTACATAGCTCATTTGTGTTGCTATCTAATCAATGCTGTTGCTATATCTAATCAATATACAATAGTTAATAAAGATGACTTTAAGACTCCGGTCTAGACCACTCCCTCCCAACAGCCGCCTACTTTATCAAAACAGACACCTACTCAGAATAATTCTGATAGCCCTGATTTTGCCCCTTTTTTCCTAGTGCTCACATGCCTCCAGTCGACGACAATGTCTGGCATCACTTGGGGATTAGATGGGATAATACAATGGGCAGTATGGACATCCTGATAGACGGCACACCGTGGTATATAAATGACAATATACGAAAAGATAACGTCATTCCAATTGGAGGGAAATTTGTCATAGGACAGCAATATATAGCTTCTGGCTTCGAACCTAAATCAGGATTTCTTGGTCAACTAAGTGGTATGAATTTTTGGAATACATCGTTCCCAGGAGAAATGTTAGAGTCGATGGCTCAGTTAGCAGTGCATTTAGAAGGAAATATATTGAGATGGTCCAATGTCCTTGGTAATATTTTTGGCGATGTACAAGTGGTTAACCCATCAAATGCTGTTAACACAAGTAAGTACTTTTTTAATACGCATGTTGTATGTGTGGGAAAATAAGTTAATACGTCACAGGGTGGTGTGGACAACAGTGAATCGTGAAATGGATGGCATGGGGAACAGTGGGACCTTCAACACAATGGAAAATGAAAGATTTCGATCATGACTGGATGGCATGGAGAACAGTAGGATTTTCAAAAACAATGAAAAGACAATGGAACATTCCGATCACTGGATCATGACTGGATGGCATGGAGAACAGTAGGATTTTCAAAAACAATGAAAAGACAATGGAACATTCCGATCACTGGATCATGACTGGATGGCATGGAGAACAGTGATTTCGACCACTAAATCGTGTCTGGAGAGCGTGAAGGACAATATGATTTCAAAACAATGAAAAGAAAATTAGGCATCCAGATCACTGCATCGTGCCTGGATGGAACTACTGTTACGTTGAGAGTTTAGCACAAAAAGCCCATTTTCGTATTTCCTTGCACCGAAGGCTTTGCCTCCAATAAAGCGTGTTTTCGACAAAACAATTATATCTGTCACTGTGTAAACCAAGGGGCGTCCACGTATTCATTTTGCAGTTTTTTCTCAAACCACATGCATTCTCTGTTCTCTAGACAAAGGTCCGAACTTCGAACTGCAATTTCAAAACTCAGATGTGCATAGTGACGTAAATTATGTTTTATCCCCTGGTCCTGAAGAACCATTCCATGAGATCACTATTTGCCTCTGGATGAAAACATCCCAGCCAGCTATATTCGTTTCCTATGATGTTGAGTGTGAAATTAGCCAGACTTTTTCATTTGGGATCGATGCAGCATATTCTTTGTATGCAAATGTTAACGGGAGCATTCTCACAAGGTATTTTTTGTAACTACTTTAGTCTTATTTATCATAATCATTACTATCCTCGTCACCATTATCACCATCATCAACATCGCCATCACCATCATCATCGCCATCATCATCAACTATATCAAAGTCATCATCATCATAATTACCAGGTTCACCATCATCACCATCACCTAATATTTACTTCTATTCTTTCTTTTAGCAGTGTATCAGATGCGTCAATCATAAACAACGATTGGCAATATCTTTGTGTTGTATTGAACGACAATGAGATAGCTTTCTATCGTAACCAGTATCGGCTAGACGATGCGACACATACTTTCAACAATTATTTTCCAACTGGAGGAAAATTTCGAATTGGTGTGGCAAAAAATAATGGCTCGTATGTAAATTCATTCGTTGGAACACTAACTTGTTTGAATATTTGGTCGATCCATCTTAAAGCTCTTTTCATTAACACGATGGCGAGCGGTGCGATGAATATAAATGGCGATCTTCTCGCATGGAGAAATGTACCAGCACAGATTGTTGGTAATTTAGTGATGATACCCAACACTGAGATATACGGTGCAGGTATGATCCATTATTTGCGATAAGCATTTCTATATCGTAAATTCATACCTGGATATGATCAAGTGTTACACTTACCTAATTACATACTTTTTACCTAATTATGTACTTTATCTTCACAAAAATTGTGACATTAATTTCTTAACTGTGTTATTGTTACCCACCCTGTCAACTTTCTCTGTGGGAAGAAACCGGGGCACCCGGAAAAAACCCACGACTTTCAACAAAGCATTCACCGACTCTTTTCACATGTGTCCGTAGAAACGAAGCGATGCTCTCAAGAGGTGAAAGGCGTTGTTATAAAATTGTATACAAAACATACATAAGCAACTTACAGCAAGTTAGATTTCTAGTTAAGAAGTCGCGTTCCTGGCTTGTCTTAAGTTACAGATGCCAAGACTATACGCATTGCACCTGTTTTAACCACCTGCCCAGACAAACAACTTATGGAACATTCATTTTTTCAGGCTACAGTTTAACTGAGAAGCGATCAAAATGGTGTATTCAAAATGTGCCCCTAGACTGTCCTTTGTACGCCAGAATAGGAGGGGATGTCAACGGGGACAGAATGGCGTGGAGATGTTACTGTTCTGAATCTATGCATGGAGGAATGCATACTTACAAAAGTTCAAGTAGAAGTACGGCCTACGAAACTAAACATGAAGAACTACTGGCTGTTGTTTACATCTAGCAGTATATAATGCAACCCTAATCAAGATACGGTCTGCATATCATCTGCAAAAATCCTAATATTTGATAGTCCATAAATAGGGTGTAAGGCCAAAAAAAAATATGTGGGTTTCCGGTTTCTTCTTATACGAACTTAGGTAGGGTAGGTCGGTTTTAACTTTTTTTTTAACTTTTTTTTTAATTTTCCGAATAAGCGGACGCCATTTTGTTTAGTCAGTGCTTCCACATCCAAAGATAAATTTCCCCAATATTGCCTCAAATTTCAATTTTCCACAAACTTTTTCCTCTAAGTGGAAACACTTACAAGCATGATCCAATAAAAAAGTTTAGGCTCGGGATTTCGACGTCCAAAAGCTAGGTAGGGTCGGGAAACCGGAAACCCACATATTTTTTTTTTGGCCTAGTTTAATTCGATACATCCTATGCGGGATAAAGCAATCATTTCCGACTGCGAGGCGTTTCCTCGGAATGAAATTATGTCGGATAGAGAGAGCGAGTGTCGGTTAAATGAAGTTTATTACTGTAATCATTTAATTAACCTCTGTATATCATATTATCTGTGTATAACATGAGGGTCTGAAAAGCTTGAGGGTCTGAGACTCTGATACCCTGAAAAGTCTACCTGTAGATTCTCGTACCCAGATCCCGTCTTACTCTCGGTCAACAGAGCATGACAAGGGTCGAGGGAACGAGAATGACTACCTAGCTCCTAAATGATTTTTGGAGTTATACCTAGCTCCAAATGAGTTTTGGAATTAGCAAGTAATTCCACAATTCATATTTCAACTCAGTTTTGAATTACACAAGTTACTCAAGTGTATCTTTTGGTTTGGAGTTAAACTTTTAGACTTTGGAGGTAGCGTCACTCCATAACTTCCTATTTTCTACAGGCATGCAAGCTGTTAACAACTTGTAACAAGCTTGATGACATTATCAGGCAGGCTTGTTACAAGGTTGTTCTGACAAGTCTGATATAGTCATGATATAACAAGAATGTTACAAGATTGATGACACAAGGTTGTAACAATATTGTTATATCATGACTGTATCAGACTTGTCAGAACAACCTTGCAACAAGTCCGATAGTATCAACAAGGTTGTTACAAGTTGTTAACAGCTTGTTTCAAACTTGTTGACAACTTGGGACAAGCAGTGCGAACACAACTTGTTGATGGCTTGTTGGCAGACTTGCTACAAGATGCGAGATTTTTGTGCGTTTATGATGGTCCAATTGATAATTATCAGTTGCATACAATATTATTTAGCAATCAAAATTTGAAAGAATTTAAAGCGTTTTTTGCTCTAAATAATATATTTACCCATGGCACAGGCACACAGTGTCCATGAGTAGCTGTAGACAACGATATTTCTTCTCATTCCAGTTTCACAAACAGATCAGTGGCGCATATTAACCTATTAACTTCATGTTACATGGCATATAGTGGTGTCTTCAATATGGTGGACATTGGTTTGAAATAATTGCTTTATAAATGGAAAATTCAGAGACAAAACCAACACTAACAGATAAACAAAGGGCTAGAATTGAACGCAATAGACAGCGTGCTGTATTGCTGCGAAATGCGAGGCTTACAAGCCATCCTTATACCAGTAAAAGTACAAACACTTCAGAAAGGAGCGAGGGTTTGCCAGGGGTGACAAGCCGAACATTAGACACAGGGGGTGGATTTTTGCTTGATCTAGACGATCACATTGAGGCCGAGAAGGAATTAAATGTTGTCTTTGAACCAGGTGAAGCATGAAATAAAACTATTAGTCTTTGCCACAGTTCACAGTATATACATTTAAAATGAGCGTGTTTTGGTTAAAAATTCTGCAAAACATGCTTGATACAATAAAGATATTCATTTAATTATTGTATATCTGTATGGTCGAACCTATCCTTTCCTGTATCTCTAGACAACAGACACCTCTCTAATACAGACACCTCTAATATGGACACTTCGGTAAAATGGACATCTCTCTAATATGGACATCTCTCTAATACAGGGAAATCTCTAATGCGTCCGCATCAGATCGCCCTGGGGCGATAATATGATGGGCATCTCTCTAATATGGACATCTCTCTAATACAGGGAATTCTCTAATGCGTCTGCATCAGATCGCCCTGGGCAATAATATGATGGGCATCTCTCTAATATGGACATCTCTCTAATGTGCTCTAAATATTTGTAAATGCCAATACTAAAGGCTAAGTTATTTCTGTAGGTCCAGAGCTCGATGCTGAACAGCTAAGATGCCTAGAATGTGGAAAATCATTTCTAGACTCTTTCTTATACAAACACTTCACTATCGCAGTTTGTGATGGTTGCAGGTAGGACAAGCGCACGGTACCACACCGGTGTATTAGCTGTATAATTCTATCCCCCCAGCTGGTACCTCAATTGTTAGCATTGTATCTTTCATCTCTGTGACTTGAGTTTGGATTTCTGCAATATGCAGTTGTCTCATTATAATTTCACATCAGTCACATGTGAGAAGAGTGCTTCCAGTTTGACTCTACCAAACACCACAGACTTTTCTGCAGGTACCACAAATACCTTTTTCTAGCAAAATAGTTTTGAACTGATAGAGCTATCCAACATAAATGAAGTTGGTTTAGTTTAAGCCTAAGTGTGTGATAACTATGTGACATGCACTGTATTGTTTTCACCAAATATAAATTATTTACAGGGATAATAATGATAAACATGCATTAATTACAAAGACAGATGCAAAAACAGTAAGTAAAAATAATCTTGACATATCAAGGTACATTAATATGTTTGCTAACAACATAGATGAGTTAGCTACAGTATAAACCTGAATGTCTTAGGAGCCCTGCATATAATTGAAAAATCATATCTTAACCATTTTAGCAATTCCTACTTAAAGATTGTGATCTGGAGAGGAGAGAACCTGTACTTCGATGCATTGTGAAGAAAAATCCACACAAATCAACATGGGGTGATATGAAATTGTATCTGAAAAGTCAGGTAAGAACAAGCAAATTTGTCATTGCAATGGTCCACAGCAGTATGTCATAAGGCAACTGACAAACTACAGCAGCTTATTGTACAATGCCATACTACAATGCCCTACTGCAGTGGCGCCCCCCACAGACTTGCAACAAGTTGATGTGTATTTTTCTAAAGGTGCGATATTTTCTAAATGTTCTGTGTGTGCCAGACAAGAATCTGGACCCCATGTTTGACATCGAGCCTGGAATGCCTATCTAATGGATAGAAATGTCCAACCTTCCTTCTTTCCCAAATGCAGGTGGTTGCAAGATCTCTGGAAATCTGGGGAGATGAAGAAGCGATGGAGGAAGAAAGAGAAAGAAGAGCAGGCGCCAGAGATAAGAAAAAACAGAAACAGTTTGATAAAAAAGTTAAAGGTGAACACTGTTTGTATTTATATACTGTGTAGGTCCTTTATTTCACAAATATGTCAAAATGATCACGAGTAACTGGATGGCATGAAGAACAGTGGGATTTTCAAAACAATGAAAAGACAATGGAACATTCTGATCACTGGATCATGACTGGATGGCATGGAGAACAGTGGGATTTTCAAAACAATGAAAAGACAATGGAACATTCTGATCACTGGATCATGACTGGATGGCATGGAGAACAGTGGGATTTTCAAAACAATGAAAAGACAATGGAACATTCTGATCACTGGATCATGACTGAATGGCATGGAGAACAGTGGGATTTTCAAAACAATGAAAAGACAATGGAACATTCTGATCACTGGATCATGACTGGATGGCATGGAGAACAGTGGGATTTTCAAAACAATGAAAAGACAATGGAACATTCTGATCACTGGATCATGACTGGATGGCATGAAGAACAGCGAGATTTTCAAAACAATGAAAAGACAATGGAACATTCCGATCACTGGATCATGACTGGATGGCATGGAGAACAGTGGGATTTTCAAAACAATGAAAAGACAATGGTACATTCTGATCACTGGAACATGACTAGATGGCATGGAGAACAGTGGGATTTTCAAAACAATGAAAAGACAATGGAACATTTCGATCACTGGATCATGACTGGATGGCATGGAGAACAGCGGGATTCAAAATAATGAAAAGACAATGGAACATTTCGATCACTGGATCATGACTGGATGGCATGGAGAACAGCGGGATTCAAAACAATGAAAAGACAGTGGAACATTTCGATCACTGGATCATGACTGGATGGCATGGAGAACAGTGGGATTTTCAAAACAATGAAAAGACAATGGAACATTCTGATCACTGGATCATGACTGAATGGCATGGAGAACAGTGGGATTTTCAAAACAATGAAAAGACAATGGAACATTCTGATCACTGAATCATGACTGGATGGCATGGAAAACAGTGGGATCTTCATAACAATGAAAAGACAATGAAACACTCTGATCACTGAATTGTGACTGGATAGTATCAGTGTTATGATAAATGTTATGCAACCAAAGGGCCCATCTTTGGTATTACTAAATAACTCTACTATTTCCAATTTAGAGCTTCGTCGTGCAGTAAGAACAAGTACATGGAAACGAGATTCGTCGCAACACATGCATGACTTCCCAGCTGAAGGAGAAGCAGGTGGAGAGGTTTACGATGAAGAATCAGACACGTGGACAAAGACATGTAGAACATGTGGACATGGCGTGACTTACGAAAAAATGTAAAATATAAGAACATGTCACGTGGGCGAAAATGTAGAACGTCAAAATTTCCAAGTACCTGTGAAACATGTATAAGCATGAATTATGAGAAAAATGTAAATATATTTAACAAATTGACATCACCTGTAGATACTTTCATCTTTACTATTGATACCGAGCAGATATAATGTGAAATTGTTCTTTAATTAGTACTTCATGTATATTTACAAATATAATGCAAAAGCTATTAACATCCCTTGCATGCAGACGAAATAGAATGACTAGTTACGATTGATCATTATTTGTCATGAAGCCTAATTCAATCTCAAGTTTAAGTCAAATATCGCGCTACAACTGCCGAACCCAAATGTTGCCTGCTCAGCAGGCGGTATTAGACGTATTAGGACTAAAGCGTGGTTTCTATATGGTCGTAACGGTCGTAAAGATTGAGTCACGATCTTCTCATCAGCCGAAATACAACATTTTAGAACAGAAAATGCACGGAGTGATTATAAGTAGAGAATACTTATTATTTATATGTGGTTTACAGGTATAAACTATTATAAACTGACCGTTTAGAAAGATCGCGTCACTCTATATTTACGACCATATGGAAACCAGGATCTGAAAGTTCGGCTCTACTTTGATATCCTTTATCTGGTTAGCACTATTTTCCATCCAGCAAACCGCCCTATCGATTTTCTAAAGTCTTTCTTTTTGGATTTTCTCTTATTAATTCGGTTAGAATTAGGGTTGCGGTTAGGGGTTAGAGTAGGGGTAGGGTTTGTTACATAGCCATTTAACACCTCTTCCATTTTCCGAAAATGACGTCAGGTCAGTTTGCTGGATGGAAAATAGTGCTAACCATCCTACACAAACTATTAATATTTGAATGAAAAAAAATAACTGAAGGCTGACTCTATCAAAACAACACTGAACCTAATCACGGAAAAGATTATATTATGGAATGTTTAGTCGTTTAGCCTTTGGGGGTTAATAAAATGATCTGATATTATCTTAAAAATCTATGGAAGACAGGTCTAAAGTACTAATTTATGTGCAAATTTGTGGTTTCCGGTATTAATCTCTTAATATAGATTCCATATCCAGCAATTATCTATCATGTGGGGATGAGAACACAACAAACCATATATAACAGATAGTTATTGATTCTAATTGTTATTCTAATAAATTATTAACATTTGTATTTGTAGCAATTTTACACACAAAATACGTACAATGCATCGTATAAAAGTCTACGTTCTAAGTCTTATCAGCACAACTACAACTATACGTTTACAAATACACGTTACGAAACTACTTTACGTCTAACCCAAAATAGACAAACTACGTCAGTGGCGAGAGAAGAAAATTCATGATTCAATCCTCAATCGCTTTGGCATTTAATTCAGACCCTATTCAGTGAACCAATTTTGTCTTCAGTAAAATATTACCTATTTACCTTGTAACTTTCGCCACAAAGTCCAAACTATCGTATAGATTACGAAACGAAGTCGTTTGTGCATAGGAAGCTATTCAAGCTAAGTAAACAAAATTACTTGGCAGAAATGGACAAAATTAATATTTGAGTCTCTAACTTGGATTTCACTCATATTTCAATCAAATTTTATCTTCAGAAAAATATTTAACCCTTCCGACCTTTGGCCGGCATGGCTAGCATAAACTGAAAGTAACACGCATGAATACGAATTAAAAATTCAACAATCCCGATTAGAACAGAAAGCTATTAAATTAAAGTAAACAATGTACGTGGCGAGAAATCGTATAGCAAAATTCTGTCTTGGATAAAACCTAGCCAAACCCACAACATCGATAACCACCATTAGACACTTCTGTTCCAGCGCTAAGTTCGACCTTGTCATCTTCAATAGGCAACGCATCCTTATTCTCTCCTAATTGCTCAACAAGCTCTTTTGCCATGATATTGAAAACCTTATCAATATTTGTGCGATCTTTTGCACTGGCTTCTGTGAACGATACTCCTAATTTCTCTGCATAAACACGAGCAGTTTCGTATTCCACTTCTCTCTTGTTTAATATATCACATTTATTCCCAACTAGAACTCTATTGACATCGCTAGCAGCGTAACGAGAAACTTCCTGTAGCCAATTTTCAATATGAAAGAATGTTTCGCGATCATTAACATCGTAGACTAGCATAATACCATGAGCACTTCGATAATACGCTGTAGTTAAAGTACGAAACCTCTCCTGGCCTGCACTATCCCATATTTGCAGTTTAATTTGCTTGTTGTTGATCACCAGTGTTCGTATTTTAAAATCTACACCGATTGTACTTATGTACGACTCTGAGAACGTATCGTCTGCAAAGCGAAGCAGGATGCATGATTTTCCAACGCCAGAATCCCCGATTAATAATAATTTAAACAGATAATCGTACTCCTCGTTCATTTTAAGGCTGATACTTTCTTTATTTGTCACTTGGTAGGGCTTGTCTGAGCTCAAAAATACGCAGGATCTGTTATCGTAGATGAGGCAATGTGTTTATAACAGGTCGAAAGGAAGTCTTTGGCAGTAATTTACATACGCAGTAGGTTAATGAAGTTTTCCTGAAGTAATACGACACTAGGTTTGCCGACTCTTGTCGGGTCTTAGTTCAAAAAGCAAGGCAAGTAAATTTGGTATAAAACGAGACAATTAAATGAGGTATAAACGTTTTCACAAGAGATAAAGCAAGCTTTTGCCTGGCAGGAATTTACATCCAGTTTACAAATGAAACTTTTCTAAAGTTAGGAAACCAAGTCTGACCGTTCTTGGCTTGGGTTACTTTGCGATATAAAGATAAACCACGCACACTTCCCAACAAGTAGAGCAAATCTGTAGAGTCAGTATTTCCTCGAGCAATTCACAAACTGATACGAATTTCTTGGCAGTCTTGGCCTTTATAGAATACAGTTCATGTAGAATATCTCTTTCAATCTCCGAGCATTAATACACTGTGCATGTCTTGCTTCTTGGGCTTGGAGTTCTCAAATTTCACTTCAATTTTGATTTCAAAGAATTGCGTTGTTGTTTCTGCTTACGCCTTGACTTTGTAATTACGTAAGATGAATCAAGTGTCTTCAGACTTGAATAATGAAATAGCAAATTTATTGTACCGTATCAAATATTTGCATACCAGTGATAGGCTATAGCCTGTCCTTTGACCAATACCTTGCGGAAACGTTGCTTAAGGAAGACTAGAAGGTCACTAATCTCCACTTCCTTCAGCTATACCTTGTTATATATCTCTCAGTGAAGTATTAATAAAGCTTTGTCTTCTTATATCAGCTTACATCAACCAACTCATATTGCCTTTGATTGATCAGGTCTTACAAATATGACTGCAAAAAGCCCCCAGTTCTCCCAGTGCTATTAACAAAATCCTGCCAAGTTCAATTATCGTTTTTATGTACAGTACAATAATTCTCTCTGAGGTCTTTGAATCCAAAATAATTTACATAAACAGGCAGCGTGTTATGAATTTTCAATTAAACGAATTTGTTTGTTCACTGCCAATCACCTGTTCAGTTTGTGGTAAACAATATATTGCAATGATTGATTATTTGCATTGAAAACGAACAATATCATAAACACCAATGATGGTCACGCGCATAAATTGAAGATGTTTTAATTGACCTTTGGCTTTGCCATCTGATACCGTAATTCCGGCCGCCCCCTACCAGACTCTAATATTTCTTCAAGTTCAGATATATAAAAGACAAGACGAGTCGAGATAAAATGTACTATAAATATTTATATAAGAGAAATATTATTGCAAACACCCTGCAATCATGCAAAAATATTTCTACGCACTAACCATACTCTTTAAACCATTATATGTTTCTTAAACGAAGTATAACACACTTTGCTACAATTATGTTGCAAATTTATGAAAAGTAAATGAATGTTGCAAATTGTGTTGCAAAACAGTCTGGAAAGAAGCGCTGCATATATCTGGGCAAGATCCAAGAATATCTTTCTACTATTTATATCACTACAGAGATAACTTTGCAAGATTTAGAAAATTATAACAAACATTAAACGTGCACTGTTGGCGTTGTCTAAAAATAATTCAATCATTTTAATTATACCTTTTATAATTTATACTGCCACGTATTGGAATTCTATTTGTACGTTGATTTGTAAACACAGTGAGGTCAAACATTCTCAAGCAGAATATGGCAAGTGAGCTTTCAAAAATTGTGCTTAAGAAAGACGATTTGACAGAAGTGCATGTGTACTTGCATGGTAAGGACTCGCGTTGTGGAAATAACTAATGTAAAAAATATGGTTTTGTAAATGAGAGTTCCAAGCAAAAGATTATTTTCAATTTAAAGACCTAAGCAAGATCATCTACGAAAAAGTTCTATCCAGCGAAATGCCCAAAAATGTCGATATAAAAAAATATGGTTCCTCTATACAAGACTACTGATCACAATAAATATTAATTAAATGATAAAAAAGCAACTGTACCAAGGGGGTAAATCCTGGAGGAAATGGGGGACACATAGCCCCCATTTTGAACATATTTCATAATATATGTAGAATGGATTGTTGTCCTTCAACTGTACCACTAGGTGCTGTACCATTTGGTTAACCCATTGAGTTGCATTGCACCCTAAGGCACCCTATTTTATTAGTAACTTTGTCTAACACCAGAAAATTTTACTTGTCAGGGAGGGAGTGCTGGTACACATTGAATAAATGTAGATAAAAGTCATAAGCCCATACTTAGACAAGTGTTGATTATTGTACATAGAGTACTCATGATTAGTACAATCAACACTAGCTTAACAGTACTTTTGTATGTCATGATGCTCATGTCATTGACACTCTGTCTGGTGATCCAATAATATTGATGGTTAATTGATACCAATCTTACATAGGAGGAACTGTAACATCATGGAAATGTAAAGGCAAAGAAATATTATTTGTCAGGTAGATAACAATACATCTAACACAATGTCATTGTGTATTAATGTTTTACTATGTCTACTTGTACAATGTGTTTATTTGTGTAAAGTAATTACTCTACAATGTACATGCATAATACACCACAGAATATGATATTTTTCAGTAAGCAAGCAGTGTTCGATGGTAAAAAAGCAATAAGAGGTGGAATACCAGTTGTTTTCCGTAAGTAAATAATAATTTGCAACTAGTTGGTATAAATATGAATTGGCTATGTACATATACCTAATATGACAGTAACATTATGGCAATGTATATGATTAATTACCAGCAAATTTTGGTCCGTGGAAATTGGGACCACAACATGGCTTTGCAAGGACTGCAACTTGGAAAGTTCACAAACAGCCCGAGAAGGTAAAGTGATTAAAATGTCAATAGATGCATAAATTTAAAGTATCACAATAATAATATAATTAATCAATGGCATTCAAGAGTGCTTTTAAATCTGGCATTCAGTGCACTCAAATCTCTTACTGCCCTGCATCAGCTGTATGCTTTTTCAATTGATTTTTCTAATCAACTTTTGGAAATCCCAAATCCGCCACATCGCTCACAAATAAACATTATCCAGCATGCCTCATTACCTAGCTCATTTACGAGTGCGCATTATATATTATTTTGAAGCTGGTCACACGTCAAAACACCATGCATATTTCATTGAATTTCAAATCGGGATTCCCCCCACCTTATTCAAGTATCAATACCAACAGTCAAAAACATGATTCGACATTGACTAGCAAACCAAACCAAAGCAGTACCAACAGTCAAAAACATGGTTCTTTGACTAACAAACCAAAGTATGTGATTTTGGGGTCAATTTTGTGAAGGCATACATTATTCATGTTTTGATATGTAATTTGCATAGGCCAGAAAGAGCAAAACTTCAAATAAAATTTTTAAGGGTGAACCATGCCACAGTATATGGAGACAACCAGTAAGGGCCACTCAGGGGAGACAAAAGTGGGAATTTTTTAAGCTAGGTCCCAGATCTCTTGTGCGGTCAAAACCATTTACTTTGTAATACAATTTTATAGAGAACTGCTGCCATTTTCCGGCTGCCAACCAGTGTAGAAAATTTGTATTGTGCGGCAGATATCTCCGGCACACAATTTTGATGCTTTCTATTAATTACTATTAAATTTTTGAAATTTTTGCAATTTCCAAACTTTCCAGTCAGGGCTGCCAATATGTTAATTAGGTTGGCAGCCAGTAAACAACTTTTTGACCAGTCTGGAAAGTCTGCAATGCGCAGCCGAGATCTCGGGTGCGCAGTTTTCGATGTGCAGTTTCATATCTCGGATGCACAACTTCCAAACTTTCCATTCTGGCTTTTTGATGCTGAGTGGCCCTATACTGTTGCTTCCCTATACTGTGACCATGCCTAGGCATAAATGTTATTAACTAACTACAACTATAATAAAACACTGACCTCATACTTGAACATCCAGGTTCTTATACAATTCTCCACTGCACCATTTAAATGCTTCTTTATTCTTGTATTAAATGTGTTAATGTGCTACTTTATCAATCCCTGTATATTGAAATTTTAAAATGAATACCTTGTAATTTGAACTAAACTTACTACAGCAGTAAAAATCAGAACCGTGCAAGCACAATGATACGTTTGTAATTGCAACACGTGTATAAATATATACCTACATTTATAACTGCGCAAATTGCCAAATTCCATCCCCATTTCAACGTTTATAAATCGAGCATTTTAAAAGAAATAAATACAACCAAGTGTTGTTTCGACAATTCAGCAACGTTTCTTGTCCGTTTCGCGTCCAAAACAACGATTTATAGTTTCACACGGACATTTCAACTTGAAGCCATTTTGAATATTTGAAATATTTTCCCGCCACTACATTTAACCGAGAGAGGATTGGCACTATCGCTAGTTTTTTCCCGCTCGCCGATTTTCGTTAATTTTGGCTTACCACTGATCTTACACATAGCCTGGATAGCGTTGCGGTATACTCTGTTGTTTGTGGTGTTACTCTGAGTGTGCATCCACACCGGGCAAGCTGAAAGGTTTGCCTGACCACGGTGGGAATCAAACGCACGACCTTTGGGATATTAGTCCAGCTTTCCATGTTTAGTAGTAGCAATGAGTAGATCTTTAGCTTCTAGCTTGTCAAGTGCAGTACTCAACTATGACATATATTGCCCTACATCAAACATATAAAGAATGAACGTGTCGCTATGGCCCATCTATAGTTATGTTTCTATATAAAGTCTTTTACGAAACGTTTGTTTCATTTTTTCCACTTCAAGGACAAGGACGGAAACATTGTTGCAGTTCTTCTTTTGGAGGACACGGAAGAGACAAGAAAAATTTGGAATCATAAGTATGTTTGAGAATTGTATCCACAACAAAGCAAAAATTTTCACAAAAAAATTTGAAATATTTTATTCCGCTCTGCGTTTTAGTTTCAAATTCTGGTACACGTTAACGCTGAAAAACTGTGAATTTTCCATGGAAGTAAATATTCAAAATACAGGTTGGTTTAATGGACAGCTGTGCTTCGACGTATGTTACATAATGATCTCTCAAACGTAGTAGCTGGGGCAGACAACATATTTTGTGCTATATTCTTCAGTTTATATGTTATCACAGGTGCAGAAGATTTCGAGTTTACATCTCTTCTTCACACATACTACAACGTTGATATTGAGAAAGCAAAACTGCAAGGGCTTCAAGGCTGCGATTTTCTGGACAAGGTAAAGTTAGTAAAATAAAAAGAAAGGTATTTTTTCTTAAAACCTGGTAGAAAAATAAACAAGACAAGAATATTTCTCACTTTAGGTAAATGGCGGGGAACATAAAGAAGAGAACGAATTTCTTCAAATTTCCGCAAATGTCGACAGGTATATGAGCTTTTGGAACTTGGACAATAAATCATTTTGAACTTTGAAGTTTCTATGAAGTGCTAATTGTTGTGATTCATTACTTATAGTGTTTACAAACAAACACCCAACGAACTCAAGTTGCTCACTGGAAATCATAACATCAGAATTACCAAGGAGAATTTTCCTGATACAGGTGGAAGAATTATTTATGCTTCTTCATTCCAGTGTTTTCGTAACAGTTTTCTCGTAACGTCCGCCATATCGTCTCTCAGATTTAACAAATAACAATTCATTTATATAAATGTTTCATTTTCCAGTTGTTTGGAATCCTTGGTTTGAGAAAGCGAAACAAATGTCTGATTTTGGAGACAATGAGGTGAAGAAATGTTTTTTTTATATGCCAAACTCCAGAATACAATAACGTAAACTACACACGTAAAAATCTCACAACTTGTCAAAAAAATGTGTTTGAAGACTTGTAGAAAGCTTGTGTAACAATGCTGTTATTTCATTAAGTTGCCACAAGGTTGTCACTTGGTTGTGGCTTGGAACAGCATTGCTACAAGTCTGCTGCAGGGTTTGTTACAACTTGTACCGTTTTTACGTTTGTACTTGGAAAAAAGTTAAGAAAACTTCCACGCCTGAAATGAAGACCGCCATCAGGAGAATAGTATCCGAACTGCTTCTTTTGTACGAAACTGCTCTTCACCCGAAATATCGAAGAGTTTTCGATCTTTTCACAGTCCAGTTAGTTTCACGATATTTTATTATCTTCGATATCTTCTTCTTTATTTAGTATCAAGACATGATCTGTGTTGAGCCTGGCTTTGTAGCTGCTCCATGTAAACTTCAACCAAATGAAACATTCACAGCCAAACAAATATTGACCTGTCTGTGCTAGAAAACACTTCCTATATATAACACATTATTCAAGAATCCTGATCATAAATTGGAGGAATACAAAACCATGACCAAAACGCAAGATACGAAACATTTCAAAAAGAAATTCTCTGATATCTTCGCCATAAATTTATCCTGTGGAAATATGTTATCTTGATTGCATGAAGTGAAATTGAAATGTTAATTTACGTACCTTGAAATGAAAGGCATGCAGATTTACTTTATTTTTGTAATTAAACCTTTTAACAAATCATTTCCCTACAAATATACAATAATGTGCATATATTCACTTATATATGAAAGTCACCCACAAAGAAACTGATCACAGTACCAAGTAATTGCTAAAATGATCATCCTGTATCTTACATAAATTACGAGCAATTTGATTTAATTAAAACCTATGCAATGTTAGCCTCCTGCGCAGACGTTGTTAGTGGCCGAGGGAGGCCTCGGCCACTAACAACGTCTGCGCAGGAGGCTAATGCAATGTTAGAAGCGAGTAACAATCTATAAATCCCTATGAATTATGTACAAATGATTATTTACATTCAGGAGAATATACGCGTGGATAAGTTCCATGGTATTCAATGCTTGTGATGTTCGAGGCTTTACTTTTTTCTAGGGATATATAGAGATCAATATACGATTACTTTAATCTGTTCGTTGATCCAACGTGACAAACTTTTACCTTTCTGTGAGTTATATATAATTAGCTGTGTGTTACCTTATGTACCGCGATTCTTACTAATGCATCTCCATTTCAGAACTTTTTGTCTTTTTTCTATCTCGTGATTTTCGTGTCGCCACAATGCAAAGCGAGATCAGCAAATCACCAAACTCGGCCACTGCTATGACAGAAATTCCGATCCAAAGACCCATTTGTCCTCCAATATCGCCAAGAAGCGTTTGAAGCTAGAAACATTTACGTAATGGCAACGTTTGAACTAAACAGAAACAACTACAAGCCGTTGACAACTTGCTGCATTTCAATACGAGTTACAGGGCAGCAGATGCCAGTCAATTACTTGAGAAATGTTGATACCAGTAGCGTAACTCCAAAGGGTTGTGCCCAGCAAGAGGCCCCATGATCTAGGACCCATGATCTAGGCCCCATGACCTTGGCCTAACTCTACTTATGCGAGCTTTTTAGCTCTTTCAGGTCCCCAGGAAAATTTTTCTATTTTTATAGTGTCGGCCGTAAAACGCTATTTCATGCATTCATTTTAGACACGTTTCATGGTAATCTAAAAGCCACCGATTTGATATATAGCATTACAAGGTTATCCTTCCCGCCTATTTCTCCTCAGTTTTAAAAGAATTAAAAAATGGATCCTTAAGAAAAGTGGTGAGGGAGGGGGGCACCCGGCCCCGACATTCTCTTCGTGGCTACGCCTCTGTACAGAATATTTAAAATTATAAAATAAAAACTTACATCATAATACGTGGATTGGACGATTTTCTCAAGATTTAACTCATCGTAAAATATTTTTACACGTAAAAAGTTATCACTGGAATAAAGAAGATAAATTACATTAACGGCTGATAAAGTAAGATTTTTGATTTCAACTCATCTTGCTCTCCCACAATATATACTCACTCAAACTTGAAATTTGGATCCTTTTTTTTGTCACCGAAATTTTTACTTTCCTTCGTCTCCTGCGAGGGAATGTCAATGGATATAGGTGTAAATATGTGCACACAAATTAAACAACGAACAGCATTTTTTTTATTTACTTACTTTTATAGATTACAATAGAATATAAGGGGGGGGGGAACCCACTAAAATTACAAGTTGACAAGTACAGGCTTCCTGGAATAACCTAGTTAAATTAAGGCTAGTCGAGTCAGGTTAATCGTGAATTAAATAATCTTGAATTATATAATTTGTCTATAAGCCAGTTGTCTGTAAAAATGGTCAGTACCTTTGCCTTCGTTGTCAAAGTAGACGTCATAATGGTGTAACGATAAGAATGATGTCTACAAAAGATAATTAATATATTTAATGAAGGTCAAATACCAGTGGCGGCGCCAGGCTTCCAAATTTGGGGGGGCATTTGAGGGGCAAACTCAAATTTTGGGGGGGCAAGATAGAATTTTTAAAAAGGTCGCCCCACCAGGAAATTCGCCCCCCCCCCTCAAAACGTGGCGATATTCTTAGGAATATTGCCCCCGGGGGGCAAATATCCTAGGAATATCGTCTCCCAGGGGGTGGGGCGAATACCCTAGGAATATCGCCCCTTTTTAGGACATTCGCCCCCCATATATGCGATGTGGTTTATTCAAATAATTTCGTGATACTTTATCTTATTATTGCCTTACACGTTTGAGAATTTAACTCTGCAAAACTAAAGCATTTTTGTCTTTTTTTGAAACGTATTATTGGAGTATTGGCAAGTTTTACCATTCAGAGATTTACAAACTAATATTGACACTGTAAAAAACAGTTTCATGTATACGCGCATTCACTAATGAGTAATGACAACTTATAAGCCATACATTTTCCGATAACGACAGAACGCTTGTGTAGCCTTTAGTCGCTCTTAGTGACTAATAATTTTTTTGAGGGGGGGGGGCAAAATTGGGGGGGCAAAAATAATTTGGCCCCCCCCCCGCTTGCCCCCCCCCCTGGCGCCGCCACTGTCAAATACAAACCACAGGCTGCAGTATATTAAAATTAATGAACTTATTTACTTTTGAACTTACTCGCAGGGTTGGGGGCATTGTTCAGTGCAACCCAGTCTGTTGCGTTTGAAGGAACTACTGACTGAATTCATACATGTAACTATAAAAATATAAAATGTAAGGTTGGTTTAACTTGAGTTGTACTGTGTAAATCAAATGCACAGCTCCCCTACTTTGTCGGCGAAGGTAAGTTGTGTGTTTGATTTGCGCAGTACAACTCAAGTTGTAAGGCGACAGTTTTAGGCAAAAGTTGTGTAGTGTAAATCAGCCCATGCTCTATTATTTTACTATATGTCTAACGCAGACGATTTCATTTCACTCTTCAAGGGGAGAGTGCTGGCACTCAATGAGTTAAGTACAGGGTCAAGACTCGGCAGACGGTGATCAAATTTAGAAATGTTAAGACTTGTACGAGAAATTCATTTCTCAATTCTAGGCGTACAAGGCCACAACATATAATGAAAGAAAGTTCACATTATTTTCTCGCATGATAGTCCAGACTGTACACTATAAACTCTCAACGTTGTTTTTGTTATAGCCTGCATAGCAGGCGTTTAGTGCGGGCGGGAGAAGAAAGGGCGTCGTTACGCAGGCTACTTTTGTTAGGAATAACTAAAAGACACTTACGTTCGGCATCCTGATAGCATATCTTATCAACGTAGCCAGCGTACTTTGCGTCAGAACATTTACACTTGCTAAACTGGGCTTTTGCCAAGCACGACTCCATACAAGCCTAAATATGTGAAACAATGAATGGCCATTATGGTATGTTGGCTACACACTGGTCAATACATATACCTTTCGCTTCTGTCACAATATGCAGTTGTATGATTAAAATCCACCTCCGCTGCATGAGAAAAGAATATCTCCTGACTGAAAACCACTCATCAGGTTCTCATCCAATCTCGTTCCCCGAGCCTGCGATCCTCGGGTAGGAACGCGAGGCTCTGGGATAATCCGTTTCAGGGAGGAATTTGATTGGCCGTTGAAATGGAATGCGTAGTTCAATCTTAGCCAGAATTCCTGGCTTCCGGCAACGGATTATCCCAGAGCCTCGCGTTCCTTCCCGAGGATCACAGACGCGGGGAACGAGATTGGTTCTCATCAGGTTTTCCCCCAACATCGTACCCAGTCTCTTTCCTCTACACTCCTAGAGGAGAGAGCCTGGGTACGAGATTGGTTTTCGCCGGGTTTCTCCAGGGTTTTCCTGTATAGTAACGCAAGGCCACAGAGTAATTACATACAGAGCTCTCACTTCTACCAAAAAACCGTAAGATCGTTTTTATATGTACATATCATGTGCCAGTGCCGGATTAATCATATGGCAAAAGTGGCATATGCCAAGGGTCCCGCGCTTTTGGGGGGGGGGGGCTTACTCTTTTTCATTAAAGTGAACCATGGGGTTATGACTAACTTTTTTAATTTGGTTGAATGGTAATGGCAATGACATTCAAAGGCATTACCATCCAAGTTGAATGGTTATGCCGATGATATTCAGTGTTTAAAATGTCATGGGGGGAGGGTTGGGGGGGGGGGCGTTGATAATATGCCACGGGCCCCGCGAAACGTTAATCCGGCCCTGCATGCATGCGCCATGTTCTTGGCAAGTGCCCTATAGAGAGGCATTCACCCTCCTAGAACATCAAATTTCAATATATTTTCAGGGGGTGATGGCCTCTCCTTAGGGCACTTGCAAAAAACATGGCAGACTGAAAAAAACCCTTGCGTTAAATCAACCTGAAGTGAGACCTCTGTATTGAATTATTCTGTGACAAGAATATGTTTAAGCTTCGCGTTTCCGGGAAGGGCAAACGGCAGGTTCAACCTTTCTTGGCAAAATTTTCGTTGAACGTTTTCGTTTCATATTTTCTTAGAATAATTAGGCATTGCAGTTTTAAAATAACAAGTTCATTTACTTTTTGATACCGTAAAATATTTCTTTGCCTGGCGTTCGCCGTTTGACGTATAAACGCGAAGTTTAAATTCTCCAATGGACTTACTTGGCTGGCCGTCAATAGGGAGAATAGTACTATCTACTATAAATAAAGTTAGCTTAGTCTAGTTTAAACTAAATGCAGGAATGTTTTACCTTTACGGAATATTTAGTGGCTGAGCCGTTCATATAATTTCTGTAAATATTTCCCGTCGAAAGTGTTAATGAAGGATGACAGCTACCATTGTTGAATGGATCCACTCTTGTTATACTTTCCTGCAATGAGAAAAATTCGTCATAAATTAACTCATATTTATAGTTAGAAACTTAGAACTCACTAGTATAAATAAAGTTAGTTTATAGTACAGATTTCTTTCTGCAGTAACACTGGATCAATATAAGGGATGACTCTTCCTGGACTTCTAGGGAGACCAGTTTACAACTGTAGAACTATCCAGTATAAAAAAAAGTTAGCTTAGTATAGGTTTCCTCCGATAGTAACACTGGATCAATAAGAGATGACCCTTAGTGGATCTCTAGGAAGAATAGTATATCTCTAGGAAGAACAGCATATATTTAAAATTAGTCTAGCTTTGTGTAAATCCTGCCTTTCTTATAGCAATCGAGGAAGAAAATCCAGGAGGAACAGTGATTCCTTCATCGTAAGGAAACGGCATTTGTCTTGCATTGTGAATAATAATGTTGGCTCCGGCCTCGTCAGTCAACTGTGGTACGTACTGATTTTGCTCAATGTTGATGTCAAGAGATAGACCTAAGGAGAAAAGGCAGTCGAGTAAATGATTATTCTTAGTTGAATCCGGAGACCAGCCCCATACAAGTAGAATGAAGAACAAGGGCTTAAGATTAGAAAAATGGTCCGCGGACCCTCTAGCTGTTGAACAACTTCTTACGCCAGTTTTCCGCTTCAATTGTATCGTACCGAAACATAGAGTATTCTTTGTTTCCTGAGCGGTAGTGTGGAACTAATGACTTCAACACAAAAGAAAATTCTACGGTACGTTACGATACGATACGGTTGTCGGTTGAAGTTGAAAACAGGCTGAAAGGTCTGCAAAACGCGATTCCATGCATTTTAGACACTTCTTATGATTATCTGAAGGCCACAAATTTTGTATATTTTATGTCATAAATGAAAGCATTAAGCGGTTCTCCTCCCCTCTGGCAGCTTCTCCTCAATTTTGAAACAACTAAAAAATTGACCCGGACGAAAAGTGGGGGGATGTCCCCTCTCCATGGCTACGCTTCTGTAATGGACCCCTGAATGAGAAGCAGTAAATCAGTAGATTCTTTGGGAACCATCACATGGTAAAAAGAGGAAGACTTGGAGGGACTATTCATGAAATTGAGGAAGATACTGAAATACGGACGAACTTAAGGGACGCAGAATGATCAACATCGATAAGCAGGATAATGAGTAGGTAAGTTTCATTTTATAATTACCATAGTTCGGTCCAGGTTTGCTAATGCGGAACACGCTGAGAGAATCTCCCGCTTCATCTGCTCCTGGGTTGAATGTGAAACAATTCCCAAATTTCCAATTCCAAGACTGTACCCAAAATTTTGTGAAATAGCTGAAGAGTATTTGTATGTAAGTATGAATATCGAGAGCGTCCAATGTAGATATTTTTCCAGGTAGTTCAGACACAAACCACGGCAGCGTATTATAGAATAGAGAGGTTAAGATAGCCCGGTTTCGGTGTACGTGTACGGGTAGCATGATTTTGGTTAGCAATATTTTCGTCGATGTCTGTACCTTTACTCGTAATTAAGATGCACATTTTTCGCATTATATCATTGTCTATTGCAAGAAAACAGAAAAAGTATGATTGAATAACAGACATCAGTAAAACAAGATGACACTACTCATACCCGTACACCGAAACCGGGGTATCTTAATCTCTCTAATAGTACCTACATTGGACCACCACGTTTGAGATATCGTTATCAGGTAGTTCAGACACAAACCACAACAGCTTATTGTAGAATACTACCTACATTGGACCACCACGTTTGAGATATCGATATCGTTATCAGGTAGTTCAGACACAAACCACAACAGCTTATTGTAGAATACTACCTACACTGGACCACTACGTTTGAGATATATTTTTCAGGTAGTTCAGACACAAACCACGTCAGCTTATTGTAGAATACTATCTACACTGGACCACCACGTTTGAGATATCTTTTTCAGGTAATTCAGACACAGACCACGACAGCATATTGTAGAATGCTACCTAAACTGGACCACCCCGCCCGTTTGAGAAATCTTCTTTAGGTAGTTCAGACACAAAACAAGCTTATTGTAAAGAATATTTACTGTACTGTACAGTTACTGTAACAATAAAACACTTACCCAGACTTGCAATCGAATCCTTTCCAGGAACAGGACAAAAGCATATCATGAAATTGATGACCAGCATTCTTTAATTCGTCTTCATCCACAGCTGCAGCTGCTATGGCAACCAATTCTTCTATAACCTTGCCCTCATCAACACTGATTTGACCATCACCGATATTTTGGCCATCATCATCGATATCATTATTAAATTTTTCCTTAAAGGCCTTGCTTTGTGCCTCAACCGAGTTTTCAAAACTTGACCCGTCCGACTTGTTTCTTTTGTTATTCGAGAAGTCTCTGAGAATTGCTTCGATCTTCGTAAGATTTTGTACCTTTGACAAACGAAACTGGTTGAGATTACACACTGTCACGGATGGGAAATCGATATTCTGTAACAAAAGAGCATGATTGTATATATGAATTATCTTGGTGGTACCAGTATCCGGGAACACCAGCTCTACTCTGGGTGTTGGAGATAATCCTTACTGGATCTCTAAGAAGAACAGTTCAAAAATAATAGAGCTAACTTTTCCTCCGCTAGTAACACTAGATTAATAGGAGATTATCCTCACTGGACCTCTAGGGAGAACAGTTAAGAAATAATAGAGCTATCCAGCATAAATAAAGTTACTTTAGTTTGGGTTTCCTCCGGTAGTAACACTGGATTAATAGGAGATTATCCTTTACTGGACCTTTAGTTTAGAACTGATAGAGCTATCCAGTATAAACAAAGTTAGTTTAGTTTAGCTTAGCTTTTTCGTGGTTTTTCCAAGTTCAAACTAGAGGAAAAATTAAGACTAACCTTTTCGTAGGAAATATCCACGGATGTTTTGATGGGTTTTTCCAAATACGTCATGATCAACAAATAACACATGTAAATGGTAAAGCCATAACAAGTTGCAGAAATGAGAAACCAGATGAAACGTCGGATATGTCCATCGGAAAGAGTCGCCTTTGAAATTCCACCAAAACTTGTATCAGAGGCGAAATTCTTCAGGAGTTTCTTGAAACTGTTGGCTTGAGTTTTTTCTACTGGTTCACTCGACATGATCTTAGCACTTTTCGTAGGATCACCCTCAAAACCGTTGTTGTGAAACATTTCAACTAAATGGATTGAAGTAGTGCATGTTAAAAACCATGCGAGAAAGGTAAACTTAACGGCCAAATTGTCATTGCAGAAGTGTAACAACTTGTGCATTTTACGTGTGTAGATTTCAAGAGACTATGAGAGAGTCATCCCAGCGGGCAAAATGACGTTTATCCAACGTTGAATCAACGTTGGAAATGACCTTCCAGACGTTGGATAGACCGCGTTGAAAAAGGGTTGACTATATGCAAATTGGATCGACGTTACTGTTTCGACGTTGAAATTAGGTTGCCAATCTCGTCAACCATAATTCAACGTTGAATCCAAGTTAAAACAACGTTGAGATTGGTTCACAAATCGACGTCGTACATTTAACCATGTATGAACGTTAATTCAACGTCTGTTGGCTGCTGTTGAACCAATGTTTGTAAAACAACGTCATGCAGAGCAACGTAGATATTAGGTTGTCGACGTCGCAACCTTTTTTCTACCAAATTTCAACGTTGAAACAACGTCGTGTGCCCGGTGGGATGGTCTTACAGCGGTTTATGAACAAAATTAGACGCAATGGGCGAAGTCGCCTTTAAACCTTATTTTATATTAGTTTCTGTTTAAAAGACTACAACATATTATACCTGCATCGATTTGTTGTCCGCAAGTTTCAAAGGTCGTGATTTCCTGACTGCAGTCAATGCCCTTTGCTTATAGAATACTGCATGACATACCCCCAAACAATATCAACGTAATACTCCTACGCATGCAATTTGGGGTGACTTGATAGAAATCTTAGGCAATATTTATTTTTTTAGGCCAGGGTCAAACGTCGAAGTTTTCATGCGCGGCCGAACCTAATGTTAATGAGCTAAGTTCTTTGTTTCACTTCATTTGCATTATAGGTTCGGCGCGTGAAAAGTTCGACGTTTGACCATGGCCGACATGATTTCATTAAGGCAAAAACATATAATTTGATGATCCATTTTTCTGGTGAAGCATTTTGAAGAAAATAAACTCATCTTCGCCGTAGATAAAATCGATTCAAGGGCTTTAAATTAATAAAGGAAAACATCAAGTCTGTATACATACATCTGTCCTTAAGGAAACATCGCCGATAGATACATCATTTCGTTTTTAAATGTTTGCAGTAAATGTTTGCGTAACTATAGGAACAATCGTATGAATGTTTTACATTCAAATTTCGCTTTCTATATAAAGCGTCAATTTTTAAATCAACAAAGACCGATGTTCGCCTTAACTTGATCAATGTTTGTGTACTTGGGGCTTGCTGAGCTTTTTTAACTTAACCTCGCAGGAATCAAACAAGTTTTCAATCAAATATAGAACTATAGTCTATATGTTTTAGAGATTCTTAAAATTCTCTGCATACAGTGGTAGTCTGGGACTACATATACGACTAATTCGCGGCTACTCGGCTGTGCATGTTTAATTTCATTAAACTTTATTCATTGTCAATATTATATCATATAACGCGCGTGATAACGTTATTTTAGGGTATCCTTCTCGTGAACTAGGCATTGGCCCACCTAGATTATGTTCGCACGAGATATCTACCCGTTCTACCGTTGTCGATGGAGGGTTTATTATTTAGCATTATTAATTTTGCATTTTTCCATTGACTTTTAACCTGTATTTTTTACGTTTTCTAATTTTCTGGGCGAAAGGCCGCGGCTGCTGGGGCCCCCTAATATATTGTCGGGGGCCTTTAGTTTTTGAACTAACCCTATCCAATGAGCGCTACGCCACTGCATCCTGCATGAATTGCAAGTTTGATTAAACTTATGATCAAATGTACGTTGTTTCAGAGATGTTCTGTACAATTTGCCAAGTTTGGGTTCTACAGATTTTCCTTGCTTCTGTGTGTGGAGGGAAATTACATGTAACGATTTCTTAAACGTGGAATGAAGTGTTGATATGGTATTCTACATTTCTACAATAAATAAGCTGCTGATCGGTTTGTGTAGGTTGTTCAGACACAAACCACGGCAACTTACTGAGGCTGTGTTTCCACTATACCAGATAGCTTTCCGTAGTGGCGCGAAAAAGCACCTATCCAATACGGAATGTACAACTTTCAGAAGCTGAGCGAAACAACATCTCATCTCAACATATATCTGGTACAATGTGGCTTAATACTACCTATATGTTAAACGCATAGCAGTGAAAAAGCATCAATAAAGCCGACTAAAGGTAATGATAATAATATCTATTCAGAGAAGCATATATGCATTGAATGCAACACAAAGGCATCCTGTTGTTAGCAGACAAATGAACATCGCGACGTTGCTTGGATCACTTTAATTTCATAGTTACTCACTTCAGCACCTCAGTTATAGCTCAAGAACTCTCTTTTTTCTACTTATAAACTCTCTGGAATTGCCCGCTCTCGTTAAAGCCGATTTACACTACACAATTTTTGCCTAAAACTGTCGCATGCAATTAGTCAGGGGCGAGTATTAGATCATTATTTCCTCTCAAACTTTAAAGATTATCGCTAGACGCTACAAATTATTGGGGTGGCCAAAGCCCCCCCCCGCCCGGTTGCTTCGTCGCTGGAACAACCCATCTACACTACAAACTGAATCGATTTAATATATCCCCTTTAATTAATTTATAATATCATTAATAATTCATACACGTTGTGGCAAATCATGTCAACCATAATAGGTCACGTGGAGTGACTTTGCATCTGATAAAACTCATCTTCATTTTAGTGTTCTTTATATAATTGTTTATCCTAATTTATAGTATGATTATATAATTGTTCATCCGAAGTAGTATTCTTTTGTAGTCCCATTTTAAGTGTTTTATCAGACATAAAACGCTCGGCTGCGCCTCGCATTTTATATCTGATAAAATACTTCTACTCGTGTTTTAAACTACTTAATTACGTTCTTCCTCTTACAAAATCAAGATGTCCTGTCATTTACTTTTATAAATACCTGGAATAAAGTTGTGCTTCAAATTTCTCTCCCTTTAATTAAACTCAGTTACGTCAGTTTAAACTTCTCTCCTCATTCTGTAGAGAGATATTCTTTAGTTACCAGAATACCAGGCAGTTCAACGCAACAAAACTAAATCAAACTCTGCTCCTTAAACAGAATGTTTTTGGTGTTTTGCCTGGACAGTTCAATGGTTTCACTCTCAGATTTGCCGAGCTATGAAATTCGAATCTCAAAACAAACTTTTGAAGACAATGAAGATTGCTCTTGCGGCACTAATCTCCACACAAATGAATTGCTAATCACCGATATACACTCACAAACCGCTGAGAATTAATCGCACGAGTGATATTTGTGTGTAAAAACTATTCAATCACAGCGTGACGATAATTACAAATTCGGACAGATTCTAACAGAATCACATACTAATACGTCACAGATTAGAATTGCTAACTGGCTAATCAAAAGAAAAGTGAAAACAAATTTTGAAGCCCCGCTCACAAAAGCCTGAAGCTTTCCTTGACAATTCTATTTCAGAACCATCCTCTGAGATACGAAAAACTGACTAGTTTCATAGTGTCAGATTAATTCCTTGACAAGTTAATGGCAAGTTTCAATTCCCTCGACACGTCTTGTTGCTCGTCTACACAGAAAACAGAATGTTGTTAAACATTTATGTCATGGCCGCCTTTTGTTTGCAGAAAAGTATTTCTTGTACATTTGTGAAGTTTTCATTGTTGGCCATACACACTTTTCTCGCATGACTAGCAATGGAACAAGACTCCTTGATAATACAATCTATCACTATTTCTGTGTCCGTTATTGGCATTAAAATATCTATTTTTAGTGGGAAGAGTAGAGCTACAATGAGCGAATTAAAGATTGCTATACAATACTGAGAAATTGCCGGACAATAGCTCGATTGCACATTCAACGTCACAGTGGCAATATCGGGTATTACAAAGAATCTCATTATCTGCCGTATTGTGTTTGGCACCAAGATGGACGCCGCAATTTTTGTTAAATAGATTCCCAAGTGATTGGTTGCAACACACATAAAAGAATCCGGCAACCGAGCATTTCATGTTAATGCAAGTGATAGCTTGTCCATAAAAAATCACTATAATTATTACTAATCGAGATCTCCTTTGAGTAATCACCGAGATTAAGCTGCATAAAAATTGCTTTCACAGTTTCACTGCACTTAACGTCAGTAATAACTCTTTGCGAATTGCGACAGCGCATGAGCTCATGCTAATATCACTTCGTGCTAATATAGATCCATTCAAGTTATCTGTAACCTGTATTAAAAATCGCTTCTACTGAGAAAGAACTTGAGATCATTATTCCCTCGGCTGAGCAGAGCTTTATTTCAAGTTGTCTTCGAGATGTCATGCTTGGGCGCATGAGCTCATTTTCAGCTCGACCGCAGATGGTCCAAACTACAGCACGTCCAGAATTACAGTGCATCAGAATTACCATGCACGGAAAATTTTCGTGATACAGGTGCAAGAATTATTTATGCTTCTTCATTCCTAAAGTGTTTTCGTAACAGTCTACTCGTAATTTCGGGACGTCCGCCATATCGTCTCTCAGATATAATAAATATCAACTCATTTATATAAATGTTTGATTTTCTGGTTGCTTGTGTGATGTCACTCTGAGTGCACATCCACACCGGGCAGGCCCGTAAAATATGCCTGGCCACGGTGGGATTCGAACCTACGACCTTTGGAATACTAGCCCAATGCTCTGCCAACTGAGCTACGCGGTCAGGTCGGTTCGAGTATGCGATATTTCAGAACTGAGTCTAGTTCCTTCGATATCAGTGTAATCTAATAATCATGAAATTTGCTGTACTCATGATTATTAGATTACACTGATATCGAAGGAACTAGACTCAGTTCTGAAATATCGCATACTCGAACCGACCGCGTAGCTCAGTTGGCAGAGCATTGGGGTAGTATTCCAAAGGTCGTAGGTTCGAATCCCACCGTGGCCAGGCATATTTTACGGGCCTGCCCGGTGTGGACGTGCACTCAGAGTGACATCACACAAATATCTTATTCACCTGCGTACATTACATCAACACAGCAAATTTTCTAGTTGTTTGGAATCCTTGGTTTGAGAAAGCGAAACAAATGTCTGATTTTGGAGATGGTGAGGTGAAGAATATTTTTTTTATATGCCAAACTCCAGAATACAAGAACGTAAACTACACATGTAAAAATCTCACAACTTGTCAAAAAATTTGTTCCCAAAAGACTTGTTAGCAATCTTGTCAACAATTAAGTTGTGACAATGCTGTTATTTTATCAAGTTGCTACAAGGTTGTCACTCACAACTTGTTGACAAATTGATGAATTGCAGGACGATAACAAGTTGTTGGAAAAAAACTTGTAACAAGTCTGTTGAGCTCAAAAACCTTGTAGCAAGTTGTCAACAAGCCGTTGACGACTAATTGTCAACAAGCTGGGAACAAGCAGTGCGAACACATCCTGTTGACAAGTTGTTGGAACAGCATTGCTACAAGTCTGCTGCAGGTTTGTTACAACTTGCGCCGTTTTTACGTTTGTACTTGAAAAAAAGTTAAGAAAACTTCCACGCCTGAAATGAAGATCGCCACTATCAGGAGTATTGTATCCGAAACTGCTTCTTCTGTACGAAACTGCTCTTCACTCGAAATATCAAAGAGTTTTCGATCTTTTTCAGTTCGTTTCACGATACTTTATCATCTTCGATATCTTCTTTTTATTTAGTATCAAAACATGATCTGTGTTGGGCCTGGCTATGCGGCTACTCCATGCAAACTTCAACCAAATGAAACATTCACAGCCAAACAAATATTGACCTGTCTGCGCTAGAGAACAGTTCCTATAACACATTATTCAAGAATCCTGATCATAAATTGGAGGAATACAAAACCATGACCAAAACGCGCATGCGAAGCGAGATACGAAATCTCTGAAGAAGAAATTCTCTGATATCTTCGCCATAAATTTATCCTGTGGAAATAGGTTATTTTGATTGCATGAAGTGAAATTGAAATGCTAATTTACCTTGAAATGAAATGCTTGCAGATTTACTTTATTTTTGCAATTCATATGCCTTTTAACAAATAATTTCCCTACAAATGTACAATAATGTGCATATACACTTATATATGAAAGTCATCCACAAAGAAACTGATCACTGTACCAAGTAATTGCCAAAATGATCATCCTGTGTCTTACATAAATTACGGCGAGCAATTTTGATTTAATTATACCTATGCAATGTTAGAAGCGAGTAACAATCTATAAATTCCCTATGAATTATGTACAAATGATTATTTACATTCAGGGGAATATACGCGTGGATAAGTTCCATGCTATTCAATGCTTGTGATGTTTGAGGCGTTTCTTTTTTCTGGGGAAAAAGAAATCAATATATGATTACTTTAAATTAACTGTTCGTTGATCCAACGTAACAAGTCAACAATTTATCTTTCTGTGAGTTATATATAATATAGCTGTGTGCATGTTACCTTATGTACCGCGATTCTTACTAATGCATCTCCATTTCAGAAGTTTTTGTCTTTTTTCTATCTCGTGATTTTCGTGTCGCCACAATGCAAAGTGAGATGAGCAAATCACCAAACTCCGCCACTGATATCACAGAAATTCCGATCCAAAGACCCATCTGTCCTCCAATGTCACCAAGAAGCGTCTGAAGCTGGAAACATTTACATAATTGTGTTTAAATCCAGGAAAGAAAAGCTTAAACTAAACAGAAACAACTACAAACTATACTCATTCCTCTTTTGGTGAATTTCAATAAGTGTTACAGGGAAGCAGATGGTACAACGTCATATAAATGTTGATACCAGTGGCGTAACTCCAAAGGGCTGTGCCCGGCAAGAGGGCCCCTGACCTAGGTATTCGAGATTTGGTATATAGCGTTAAGAGGTTATTCCTTCCCTTCAGAAAAAAAGTGGTGGAGGAGGGGGGCACCCGGCCCCCACATTCCCCCTGTGGCTACGCCTCTGTACAGAGTAAATAGCAAATAAAAACTTACATCATAATACGTGGATTGGACGACTTTCTCAAGATTTAACTCATCGTAAAATATTTTTACACGTAAAAAGTTATCACTGGAATAAAGTAGATAAATTACATTAATGGCTGATAAAGTAGGATTTTTGGTTTCAACACATCTCATGCATCCCACAATATATATACTCACTCAAAATCGAAACTTGGATCCTTTTTGTTAGCGAATTTGTCCTTTTTCTTTGTCTCCTGCGAAGGAATGTAAATGGATATAGGTGTAAATATCTGCACACAAACTAAACAACACGAAAAGTATTTTCTATTTACGTACTTTTAGATTACAATCGAATATGAGGGAAAAAACCCACAAAAGTCTCCTGAAATAACCGCAAGGCTAGTCGAGTCAGGTGGTCTTGAATTAGATAATTCGATCTTGAATTAGATAATATTGAACTATATAACTTTTCTATAAGCCAATTGTCTGTAAAAATGGACCGTACCTTTGCCTTGGTTGTCAAAGTAGACGTCATAATGGTGTAGCGATAAGAATGATGTCTACGAAAGATAATTAGTATATTTCATGAAGATCAAATACAAACCACATCAGTATATTAAAATTAGTAAACTCATTCACTTTTGAACTTACTCGCAGGGTTGGGGGCATTGTTCAGTGCAACCCAGTCTGTTGTTTTTGAAGGAACTACGGACTGAATTCATACATGTAACTATAAAAATATAAAATGTTAAGGTTGGTTTAACTTGAGTTGTACTGTGTAAATCAAGTACATAACTCGCCTACTTTGTCGCAGGTCAGTTGTGTGTTTGATTTGCGCAGTACAACTCAAGTTGTAAGCAGGTTCCATGGACAGTTTTAGGCAAATTCATTTCTCAGTTCTAGGCGTACAAGGCCACAACATATAATGAAAGAAAGTTCACATTATTTTCTCGCATGATAGTGCAGAATGTACACTGTCAACTCTCAGCCTTGTCTTTGTAGACTTTGTTAGAGATAATTAAAAGACACTTACGTTCGTCAGGCTCATTGCACAACCTTTCAACGTAGCCAGCGTACTTTGCGTCAGAACATTTACACTTGCTAAACTGGGCTCTTGCCAAGCACGACTCCAAACAAGCCTAAATATGTGAAACAATGAATGGCCATTATGTTTATGTTGACTACACACTGGTTAGTTCTTGTACCTTACATTTCTGGTGCAATATGCAGTTGTATGATTAAAATCCACCTCCACTGTAGGAGAGAAGATCATATTTCCCGACTGAATACCACTCATCAGGTTTTCCCCCAACACGAGGTTGGTTTTCAGCAGGTAATCCAGGTTTGTCCTGTATATAGTAACACAAGACCACAGAGTATTAACTACATACAGACGTCTCACTTATGCGACAAAAACCCTATCAACTTTAGTAAAACCCTATCAGCTTTAGTAAAACCCTATCAGCTTTTGTAAAACCCTATCAGTTTTAGTAAAACCTTATTAGCTTTAGTAAAACCCTATCGACTTTAGTAAAACCATATCAGCTTTAGTAAAACCCTATCAGCTTTAGTAAAACCCTATCAGCTTTTGTAAAACCCTATCAGTTTTAGTAAAACCTTATTAGCTTTAGTAAAACCCTATCAACTTTAGTAAAACCATATCAGCTTTAGTAAAACCCTATCAACTTTAGGAAAACCCTATTAGCTTTAGTAAAACCCTATTAGCTTTAGTAAAACCCTATCAGCTTTAGTAAAACCCCATTAGCTTTAGAAAACATTCGTAAAAAACCCTATCAGCTTTAACTGTATCTTTCTTGAATAAGTGCTTCAATCAATAAGGTTTCTTTTACTGCGCATATCTTGACGGCCATGACCTTAGCAAGTGCTCTAAGGAGAGGCATTCGCCCAACATTAAATTACAATGTGTTTTCAAGGGAGTGACAGCCTTAAGTCTCTTTAGGAGACGGCCGCTCTAGCGGACTGAAAAAATCCCTTACGATAAATTAACCTGAAGTGAGACCTCTGTATGTAATTATTCTGTGAGAAGGCCAATAATGGACTCCTTTATAATAGAACTATCCGCAATAAATAAAGTTAGCTGAGTCTACTTTAAACTAAAGGTAGGAATTTTTACCTTTACGGTATATTTATTGGCTGCACCGTTCAAATAATTTCTGTAAATATTTCTCGTCGAAAGTGTTAATGAAGCATGACAGCTCCCATTCTTGAATGGATCCACTCTTGTTATACTTTCCTGGAATGAGAAAAATCGTCGTAAATTAACTCATATTTATGGTTAAAAACTTAGAACTCAACAGTATAAATAAAGTTAGGTAATAGTACAGATTTATTTCTACAGCAACACCGGATCAGTAAGAGATGATCCTCACTGGACCTCTAGGAAGAATAGTTTAGAACTGATAGAGCTATCTAGTATAAATAAAGTTAGTTTAGTTTTGGTTTCCCCCTGTAGTAACACTGGATCAATAAGAGATAATCCTCACTGGACCTCTAGGAAGAACAGTTTAGAACTGATAGAGCTATCTAGTATAAATAAAGTTAGTTTAGTTTTGGTTTCCTCCTGTCGTAACACCGGATCAATAAGAGATGATCCTCACTGAACCTCTAGGGAGAACAGTTCAGAACTGATAGAGCTGTCCAGTAAAAAATAAAGTTAGTTTAGTTTTGGTGTCCTCCTGTAGTAACACTGGATCAATAAGAGATGATCCTTACTGGACCTCTAGGAAGAACAGTTTAGAACTGATAGAGTTATTCAGTATAAATAAAGTTAGTTTAATTAGTTCAGGTTTCTTCCTGTAGTAACACTGGATCAATAAGAGATGATCCTTACTGGACCTCTAGGAAGAACAGTTTAGAACTGATAGAGCTATTCATTTTTGGTACCGTACCACTTTTTTGGTTCTTGGACTACCTAAATAGATAGTCCAAGAATCAAAAAAGTGGTACGGGTACCAATTTTATCCGTGCCGTACCAAAAATTGAGCGTAGTGTAAACGGGGCTAAAGTTAGTATAGTTTAGGGTTCCTCCTGGAGTAACACTGGATCAATAAAAGATTATCTTTACTGGACTTCTGAGAGAACAGTTTAGAACCGATAGAGCTATCCAGTATAAGTGAAGTTAGTCTAGCTTCAAATGTGTAAATCTTGCCTTTCTTATAGCGATCGAGGAAGAAAATCCAGGAGGAACAGTGATTCCTTCATCGTAGGGAAACGGAATTTGTCTTGCATTGTGAATAATAATGTTGACTCCGGCCTCGTCAGTCAACTCTGGCACGTACTCTTCTTGTTCAATGTTGATGTCAAGAGATAGACCTAAGGAGAAAAGGCACTTTCAAGAAATTATGATTCTTGCTTTATTCCAGAGATCAGCCCATATGAGTAGAGTACCGAGGTAAGAGGTTACGCCCCCGGTTTCTCTTTAGTTTTGAAATATTTACAAAATTGTGAGGAAAAGTGAGGGGGCCCTCTCTGTGGCTACTCTTCTGTAATGGATCCTGAACGAGAAGCAGTAAATTAGCGGATTCTTTGAGAACCATCACATGGTAAAAAAGAGGGAGATTCGTGAAATTGAGGGAGAGGGAGATTCGTGAAATATTCATGAAATTGAGGAAGATACTGAAATACGGAGCAACTTAAGGAACGCAGAATGGCCCGATCAACATCAATAAGCAGGATAATGCGTAGTCACAGAATAGAGACAAACAGAAGATCGATTCTTGGGTTTTCCTATGATTTTGACGTAACCGTAATTCGTCATCAAAATGCTGACGTCATGGTCTTAGCCAGTGCGCTTATGAGTGAAGAACATTCACCCCTTGATTCCCGCGGATAATATCC